GAACACGGTGGGATATATAACACCCAGGTTTCTAAAAGTTAGTCAAATTCATTCTGTTGTCAAGAAGTACATAAAGTTCTTATTGACCAGATTGAACAGACACTGCATGGTTTTAAAGCAAGACCTATGAACAATATTAAAGAACTGAACTTAGGATAAACAGATTCCTTACTGGAGAATAAATTCAGTTGCCACTGTAATGGACCTTTCCCATTTAGTTCTGAGTTTTACGATGAGAGTTGACAAAGTACTAGAGGGAATATTCTGTTAATAGCAAATTAGCTTGCAAATGGTGCATAGTATAAATGCCCTTATAAAACACTGCTGTCCTCTTGGGTGTATTCTTTATGGCTAAACCACAGCAATGGTATTTGCACACTGAAAATTCCTGCACACTCTATCATATTATCTGTCAGTAACTAAGATTTTTTACAGATTTGAGGGGCTAGGGGAGGATACCAGATGAGGTTTTTATTGTGATGACACAATACTGCAGCAAAGACTGTAAGTCCTTTTGGATTTCTCTTTACCAATACAGAAGGGACTATAATTACAAACGGTACATCAGTTCTTTGTTTTACTACTTTTCATCATAAATAGAGTAATTTACTCCAAGGTGACTCTTGAAAAAGTGGATTCCAGCAATAAAAAATAATTGTTCCAAGATGTGCTTCCTGAATTATGCTGGCGTCTTATGTATTTTTGCTAAAACAAATGATAACAGAGATCTTTTCCTGCATGCTGTGTCTTGGGACACTCATACAGATAGTAAGAGTACTGCTCCTGCTTTCTATAGAACTTCTCTTTTCAAATGCCATGTGTCATGTTCCCTTTAGGGAGACTTTTCAGAGCAGATAATTGTATAAAACCATGGTGCTTTCACTTTGTTAAAGCTAACAGGCCTTATATGCATATCCGAATTAAACTTACAAAGTAGTGGGCTGAGGTGGATTTCAAATAAGCAATATTGAATGTCATCACCATTAGCAACTGTACTTTCATTGAAATGTCTTTTTTTCATAAACATAATCTGGGTATTTGAAGAGTGTCTTGTGTTAAATGAGAGTGTGAATTTTAAGTGGGAGTGGTAATGGGAAATCACATTTGTCCACAGCTTGCATCGTGAGCTGCTTTGAGGGAAAGACTGGGTTTCTGAAATTCCATCTTTTGTTTTCTCCTGTGGACACCATTCTTCCTTATACCTCTCCTTTCTCACACCTGCTTTGCAGCACTGACCATTAAGGCGCCAGATGGAGCACTGCCATGGGCTGCAGCAGCCACTGTGGACAGCTGGAACATCCTGTAGCAGGAGGACACCACAACCTTGGCAGGGTGGGTCTGTCCCCCTCCTCTGCAAGCAAGAAAGCTGAGAGCAGCTTTCTTGATCCTGGCCTATTTATGACACAACAACGGGAGTTTGCTGCGGACAACAGCCACTTCTCCCTTCTTCCAGCACCAAGGAACTCCCTCCACACCTTATTCAGCCGGGGTATCTCTTCCCTGCAGATTCATTGCCTTTGTAGCCCACATCAGGCAGCTGCCTTGCCTTCAAACTCACACTGCAACTGGAGAAAGGTACAAGACAGGTAAGTTGCTCCTAATGATGTGTGTGCCTCATTAGAGTCCCTGCAAAAACTATGCCCGGTGTCTAACCCAGTACAGAGCCAACTGAGTTCATCTTCTTGGGCTGTCACTGTGATAGTCACTCAGGATTTGTGTATCCCAGCTGTACATTAAGAATCCCTGGTCAAAAAAGTAGCCAAGAGCCTGGCAAATTTACATCCTACCAATTTAGGAGTTCATATTTTACAGAGGGGGCTGGAATTCTTGTGTGAGATTTGCCTGAAGGCCCAAGGGGAGCGTGTTACTTTGAAGCAAATGCTCAGGGTAATAACAGAATACACAGCCCACACAGGGAGAGGCTGTGTGTTTTAAAACCAGGTACAAATAAATGTTCCAAGTTTACTGCCAATAACAACTAGACCCATGACTTTGTGAAGCAACTTACCTGAGGCAGTGTCTTTGTGTATAAACCATTTCGTGTTTATGATGTAGGTGCTGATTATAAATTGTCCAGAAACTAGTTCATATAAAATAAACAGAGCATTCAAACTTGAATTAACTATTACAGAAATACTTGGGTGAGGTCCCCGAGGGACTGCATATCAACCTGACAGGGTGATCAAACATTTAAAAAGGGAGTCAGAGAAGGCTTTTAGTTGGGTACCACTTTGGGTTGTTATTCATGGCTAGCACTCAATAAATGCCTTTGTGTGCATTGCTGTAATCATATTGGACCTGCAGCAGTGCATATTTGTTGTTTTTACAGAGATGTATTAATGAAACAAGTGCAGTCTGAAATTCAACAGCTGCCCAGAAAGGAGACTGGCTAGCTGGCAGTAAGCAGAGGCATTTTCAGCCTCAAATAAAGACATGGAAGATCTATGCAAGAGGATAAAGATGGAGAACAAAGAATCTGAACAGTTGGAAGTAATATTGTATAGCATTGATCTCCAGGGTCCTGAGGCTCTCAGAGCATCTGACCAAGGTAGAAAGGGGAGCATAATGATGGGGATTGTGCATCACTGCTTGGATTCCATACCTGTGTATGGATTGAGGGAACTTTTGTCTGCTAGTGGGATGGTCTGTCTGTGTTGCTGAGAGCTCAGCTGCTACCAGTCCCAATTTCAGTGACACAAACTCTTAGGTGAGTACTGTGACCCGGCCATGCACTTGTGTGGGAAGTGCAAACTGGCAGCTTATTTGAGCCAGAAGTGATTTTCTGTTGTTAGTGACTTTGGAGGTGCTGATGAGAAGGTATGGAGCTGATGCCACAGATTGGGCCTTGGGAGACAATTAATTCCTAGCTTGGCTGTCTCAGAACCAGTGGGACATCTCCCACTGGGCAAGGGTGTGACAGCCCCAGAGAAAACCAGAAGTTGCAAACAAACCTTCCCCACTTTAGCAGCAAACTATTTTCTATTTCCAAAACTTGCTTCTGGGAGGAAGGGCTGTTGTATCCTCATGCTGGTGACGCCTGATTTTCACTTGCACGTTCCGAGTGTTAAGCTCTGAGTAAACCCCTCAACATGGGCACACAATGCCTGTAAGTGAATACAGCCTGTGCAATCCAATAATTTATTAAACTTTCATCTTGTAAAGCCAGTTACAAATTAAAAAAGACAGAAGAAGGAATTCTATAATAGAAATGAGCAAAATTACAACAAATAGTAGTGAGAGTTACGTTTCAAGTGGGTTCAAGCTGCCTGCAGCAACCCAAGAGCCAGAACACAGAGCTAGTGCAGTTAGGACACGGATAATCAAGCCTAGTCTGATACATTAGAGATCGAGCCAGTGTATGCAGTGTATACAAAGTGTTGCTTCTCAGGTGGCCTCTGCATTCCTGTTCTCTCCCATCTGTGACCTGGTCATCTTTTAATTCCTCGTGACAACAAGGGGGTGTTTGTGGGCTCCATCAGTGATGCTATTTAAGGCAAAACTCCAGTTGGAGGGATGATGCACAGCAGGGTCCGCCCTCTTTGACTGATCGTGTAGCAAGTGCCCGGTGTGTTTGCACATGCTGCACTGTAGTGGAAATGAGAGAGGAGCAGGGGTTATGTACAGTATTTCTTCTTGTACTGTCACCCTCAAAACCAGTGCTCTGCAACACAGTGTTAATAATATTGGCACAATTTAATGATGAATTGGAATGGAACCTGTTGCATACTGACACCTACTTTACTATGCAATTTCTGTTCCATAGCTAACAGGCCTTAGCTGCTGCTACTACAGAAATGGAGACGGCCAATTTTAAATGTGGAAGAAGACCCACATTACATACAGCCCTGCAGTTTCATGGGCTTTTGCATTCTGGGATCCCAAGACTAGACAAGGGTCATGGAAAATCGCTCACCACCAGGTTTCTTGGTTGTTAATGCAACTAATTTATGATGGAACTGATAGTGAATATTGTTTTAAACAATTAAATCAACTTTCTGAAGTCAAAAACTGACGGTGAATGCCATTCATAGAGAAGAAAAAAATTCTGCTTCTTCAAATTGCAGGTAGCTATAAAAACCTCCAAGAAGCAGTTGTTTTGGCAAAATAGAATTGTTTTCAAGTTCTGCCGAGGACTAAGGACCTAGAGGAGACTGCATGGGGATCTGGGGATTCAGTCATGTGAGCAGTTCTTGTTAAATTTGGGATGGATGCAGGATTTGGCTTTTGCTTACTGCAGTAAAGAGGAAGTAAAAATCTTGTCTGTAACAATTTATCTAGGCACCTATTTACTCAGTAGGAAACAGTTCACTTAAAACTAAGTTCAGGGAGCCCAGTCACCTAAAAGCCCCCCTAAAGAAAGAAGGATCTTAATGCAAGCAAGCTGTTCCCCACAAATCTCCAACCTCCATCTAATACCTGGAGTTTGTGAAGAGCAGCTCTTCTGGAAATGCTACTAAAACCACCTCCCCTCGTGGGCTGTACAGGAGAACAGCAGTCATTATTTTTTATGCAAGAGGCACTGCTTGAAGTGTGACCTTAGGGCATGTTTCAGTGGTGCTAGTCCCAGAGGTTCTCTCCCAGACTGGAGTATTTAATAGTTTAACTGAAAGTGCCACTTTTACAGTCGTGTACCTATGAACTTTTATTGGAAGGTAAACAACCACCTTGGGTGATTTTGTTTCTTTGTTTAATGCTCTCTCACGTAGGGTTTGATCTCTTTTGACCACTTGACTTCAATTATACAAAGGCTTTTTAAGACCAGATCAGATTGTTAGTATATCCTGAAAAAAAAACAAACAAAACAAAACAAACCCACAGTGATTTATATTTTAGATTTGTTTGCAAAATAAATAAATATTCTTTCAGCAGACCATGCTGTGATCACATGATCCCAGATGTCTGCATATTCAAAATTCTTAAGGAAGCTTAAGTCTGTCTCCTGTCCTGCAGAAATGATCCTTGTCAATTTTTCTGCCATATGCCAGGTGATAGTGAGCAGCAGAGAGGACACGGAGGAGGAGGATGCTTCTGACTTTGCTTCTTTAAGGTACATTGTTCATCAAACAGGCAAGGAGAAAACAAGTTTTGGGCCATTAGTATTTCACAACAGTTGAAACTGTTTAATGTCTTTGGGCAGAGGTGCAAATCCTATGATACTGTAGATGTCACTTTAGGTTTTAAATACAGTAGTCAGTTGAATTCTTAAAAAACATCTTTGCTACACTTGTGCTGGCAAGTTGCAGACACCCATGACTAAACTAGTGCCAGTTCATCCGTATCACCTAGTCCAGATGCTTGCATGGCTGTCCACGCTGGTGGCTGATTTGACACTGCAGCGTTTCTTCACGATCATGTTGATGTACGCTTTCATGATCTTTATTATCTCACCCACCTGGGGAGAGAACACAGCACACAGCATAAGCACTCTGAAAACCTCAGTTCACTGAGGCATATAGGACATTTTGCTGAAAGAGATTCCCCCTTTCCAAAGTCATGACACAATCAATTTTGCATGTTAATACTAAATGTGAACATGACAGTAAGAAGAGAAAGGCTTGACAAGTTTGTACTCTGATGTAGCAACACTTTAAAATATTTTTAGCTCAAAGAAAAGGAACTCCCATTCTACTAAATAATTTTTTTTAAGTGTGTAAAACTCCCCATTCATCTACTGGAAAGGAATGAAAAAAAAACCAAAACAGTCAAACTGAAGAGCCAGAGTTTCCACCCAGAAGTGGAAACTCTTGATGCACTGGAATACCAATCAACCTCCTTCACTTTCTAACCAGCCTATTTTTTTTGTTCATCCCTGTATTCAAGAAGAGGTATCATGCCCTTTAGGCTTAAGCTCCCTTCATGTTTTCCCTTGGCTGTGTAGTCCACTAGTCAAGAGTTCTTCTATTCCTTGAAGCTTAACTGCAGTGGCTATGTGCTTTCACGTACCTGGGAGGTTTCAAAGAACATTTCTCTCTCATCCACTGTAATTTTGAAGGTGTTGGGCTGTGGTGCTCCAAAGAAAACAATATGCTCATACTGGAAAGTTTCTAGTGGTTTAGGATCCCCTCGTTTGTAGACAGATACATTCTCTGTGCTGACGCCAAGCCAGAGATCATTGGGGAATCCACCCTCCTTGCACTGCAGAAAGAGAAATATGACCTTCTGCATAAATGAAGTGGAGGATCACATAATTTTCCATTCAAGAAAAAGCCCTCCGATTCTAGCTCTTATAGGACATTTCAATTCAATACACAAACCAGGGTACTTGCAGAATCTATGAACTTGCAGCTGGAGGCACTCCTGCTGCAAAGATTCAGATGTGACACAGCTGTGAGTCAAATACTAGCTGAGTAATAAATAATTGTAATAGGGAAGAGCTCTCATCAGATTTTAAAGTGATGGAGCAAGTCAATATTCCACTTCTTATTTTACAGATAATGCAATAAGTGCAACCAACTTCCCATGGTGATCCACCTTGGCAGCAGCCAAACTGGCAGAATTGAACTGTGGCCTCTGCCTGTAGCAGGCTGGCACAGTGCTGAACACGCCCCAGTCTGCCCAGTTTCTGTTGAACTGCTGCAGACCAGGACTGCACTTTTTGCTGGCAAGAACAGCAGAGCTTTGCTTTACTTTGACTTTTGCTAGCCACCACTTTCTTAAACCCCTCTCTCCTCCCCCATTCCACCATTATTCTAACAAAGTGGGAATCCATTGTCTCCCTTCATTTACCAGGATGCCCTGCCTTGCTTGCTCTGTGCTCTCTGTGTCATAACTCTTGGGGACTGTAATACTGCAGGCTTTCTCTGAGATTACTAAGGCAAAATGTATCCACTTCCCTAAATTCCCATCTGTTACACACAGCTTTATCTGTTCTCCAGACTGATACCTCTCCTCAGCTGTGGTTTTAGGAATTTAATAATCACTCACCTCAACATCAAAGAGGGTTGACCCATAACCTGGCCACTCCTTTACAATGGACATGTATTTCACCATGGCCTGATGCTGAGAGAGCCCCTGCAGCTTGGTCCATTTTTGTGCTATGCTTGCCCGAGCAGCTGAAAGCTCTTCTTTTACCCACATCTCCATCATCTGCTCCTCTTCTACCTTCTGCTTCTTTACAGACCCTGTCTTGAAGCTACGCTTCAACGTCCCTTCAAGGAAGCTGGTCCGTCTCCTCTCCAGAGTGTGACTGGTACTGCTGCTGCTCTTTGTTGAGTGCAGTATTTTGGATTTCAGCCTGTTAACTGGGTAGATTCCATCAAGGGTCCAGCTTATTTTGGAATAATCTCCATGAAGGTACTGCAGCCGCAGAGCTGCCAGACGCTGCAGAGTGTCCTCTGGGCCAGGAAAATGACCGGCTATGAGGCTTTCGTGAGCCTACAAACAAAAAGGGCCCCAAACTCATTAGAAAACAATAGCACACTTTATTCACATCTGGGTGCATGCAGAGATTCCTGTCATCTCTGCTGATCCCAGTAGGACAGACATAATTCAGGAGGTCAGAGCAGACATTGGAATAAATATGTCAAAGTCTGCAAGTGGTTCATATGGGGGGGAACACCCTTTTCTGCAAGCATGAACAGGACAGAGATCTTTGAAGGGCTCCTATCCCGTACAGAAAGTCCTACAATGAGAACCTTTTAGGTCTGGAACAGATGAACAAAACGAGAATTGAAGCAATTTGTTTTTGTGCTGTACCAGCTACAGCTCCTGTGGGAAGATTATATTCAACACTAGAGTAATTATATAAATTCAAGATTCTCAACCTCAGTTTCATTACGCAAAAGCACCTCCCACCTCTTCCTCCTTCACCTGATGTCTCCACCATCTTCTTGCTTCCCTTTGCCTGTTCTTCTGTGAAATCTATTAATGGAGCTTTTTGCACATCCATCTAATGTCTGGGTTACACCTACTCTCCCTACTGTTACTTCTCTTTGCCAGTTAAAGCTGTGTAGACTGAAAGCCTTGTCAAGAGGGAGTTGATTCATTTCAAGAATGGAACCATCATCTGAGTGATGTGCATGCCATGCATTTGACTATCAGTGAGTTTCAGTCTTCATGACTGACTGCCATTAACACAGATTCAGTAATTTTCTATGATTTTCTGAGGCAAGGTCAGTGTTCATTGAAGTAATACAGATGAGACAAATCACACAGCTGGGTGCTCCAGTTGGTTTAGTTTTACTTCCTAGCTGCAAGGCTCTTTCATACCAGTGTGACCTCTGATCTTGCCAGTATCATTGTGCTATGGAATACAGTGACTTAAAAAAATAAGACTACTCAGCAGATAAATACTGTCAACTGCATTCTCCTTTCCTTTGTCTGCAGTACTCTGTTAGTGCCTCTCTATTAACCAAAAGAAATTGCCCAAAAGATGGTTCTTAGTTAGTTCTGGTAACACCCCAAGGATAAGCTGTTCTTGTAAGCCGATTTGCAGATAGACAGATAGATAGATGTTCCAGTTTTCTTTACATTTATGTTCTGCAAGCGGCTACTTTTAATGATTCTCATAAATCAGTACCTGAATTTCTCTGCCTTCTAAAGTTAAAGACTGAGTTTAAAAAAAAATATTAGTGTTTCATTTTTTCTAAGCCTTTGCTAGCTTTTCTTGCCTTTGTTCTAATACTCATCTTCCCTAGAAAATTCCATGGTCTATCTGCTTAGTAGATTCCAGGCAAAAATCCAACATACTAAACTCTTGAGCTACAAACAGAATTCCCACTTCTAATGAAAGGTAAACCAGTTTTCTGTATCCTCTTGTGTGCTTTTGCCATCCTGGAAACCAAATCATTCTCCCAGAGTTTGCTTACCTGCTCAAACATGAAGGCAAATTCCACACCATCTTTGGGAACATTCTCAATATCCAAGAAGCAATAAAGCTTAAAATACAGTTGCCACTGTCCCTCCTCCTCTTCTTCTTCAGAGCCAGCAAGTCTGTAAAATATACAAGAGAATGAGAAATCCCAGTAAGGAGAAGTACCCATGGTCCTGGAATGTTCACAGTGCAAATCACAATCTGAACGTAACCTGAGATTCTGAAATCCAGTGTTACATCCAACTAGGAATTAGATGTTTCATGAAGCATTCTTTTACCTCTCAAACTTGGCCAAGATGTCAGCCACAATCACCCGACTCTCCACAGCACGGTCAACCTGCTGGTTGTGTTCAAAGAGCGCGAACATATTGCGGCTGTCCTCCATCGCCAGCCCTCGGATCAGCTTCTCAACCACCTGCAAAACCAGACACATCACACAGTGGGCATCACTCCCCCTTTCACAATGAAGATCAGTACCTCTTCAGAACACCTATCTTTCATACATCTCCAGCACATTTAATCTCCCTTAATTACCATGTTTTCAGATTAAAGAATTCTAACCCTAAAAGATCATTCCCTGCAATGAAGTCATTACTTGTATTTGATCATCCTTGCTTTTCTTCTCTGAATCTTTTCAATCTTCCCTACCCTTTTGAGGATGGGGGAATTAGAATTCTGCACAAGACATAGGCACATAATGGATTCAGATGTCACGGTGACATTCTCAGTTCCTCTAGTAACAATTCCACTTTCTGCTCTGTTTAGCACACTAATGTTTTCACAGACATGACTACTGCAACCTGGAATCCTGCTTCTGACCTGCTAATGATTAAGTTACTGGTGGAATAACCCTCTCAGAAGGATTCCATTATGAACTGGAATCTCTCCTTGTCCAGAAAACTGTGTTTAGCAAGTTTCAGACAAAGGGCAGAACACCAGAAGCATTTAGATTTTGCAACACAGTTTTCAAGTGATACTCTACAACCTGGCCTTGTAGAATAAGCTGAACTTTGCCCAAAGAAATAGCAAAAGAGTTGTGATTAAAACAAATAAAAAATTTGGAAATAAAAGGGAAAAGGATGTCTCTTCAACAGACCCACTGTCCAGACACAGCACAGATGTGCTCACATCTGGTTAACCCTACTGATGCATTACCTCCCCAGCGCTGGTGTGGGAATTGATGGTTATTTTGCAGGAGCCACCACCATGGCAATACACTGTCGTGGTCATTTCCTCACGGGTAAGAAGAGCCTGTATTTCCTCCTGGGAGGGCACAAACTCCCTTGTCTTCGTTCTCTTCAGGGAATCACTTATGAACTGTGCATACCTATCTATTTCTGAGTCTGGAAAGAGATCTTTTACCCTAATTGTAAAGAGAAGCAAAAAAAAAAAAAGAATCCCATTACACAGTGAACAACACACTACCCTAGAAATGAGACAACTGCAAGTAAAGAGTCTGGTAGAGATGCTGATGTCAAATGCAACCACACAAAAATCAAGCTTATTTCCTAAACAATACAATCTGCTTTTACTAGTAATTTGAAAGTCACTTCAGTGGCATTTCTCAGCAATGTATGAAATAAGCAGTTCAAAGTTTCAGGAGTTTAGTGACAGCTGAAGACAGCAGGATTGACAATCTCAATTTACAACACTGAGAATAAAAACTGTGAAATCAAATGTAAACTTTTAACTTTTTTTATTTATTCTTAATGTTTTCGGTTGTTTTTTTGTTTTTTTAATTTGCTGGCCGTGACTGAGCCACTTCTATAGTATGTTTGAGAATTAAGAAGATAGAAAGCAGATGCCTGTACATGTTCTCCTCCCTCCAAGATCAGCAGGTCTAAGTATAACATTATTTTCAACTTCATTGATAAAAGAATGAAATGGCTCCATGGAGTATTTGCATCTCTTAGACCCAGGCCATGGATATAGCTATTTGGTATATTGACACAAAACTCATGTCACTCTTTCCTAGCTTGGAAGGAATCAAATAGATTTTATTGACCTTGCTCATCATTAGGAACGGAGCAAAGTTACACAGCTGCAGATCAGGCCCAGTGCAGACTGCTTTGTAAAGCTGCATTAGATGCTGAAGATGACTTGGGAAGAAATGTAAATTATTTAGATCATGAAAATGGGAGGTTAAAACAGATTAAAAATATTAACTGCAAGAATTATGTGCTTAGTTAAAGAAATCTTGAAAAATATAAATTGGATTTACAGTATCTCTCCTACTTCATAGTGTGCTTTTTGCCTGTGCCAGCTGCAAGGTAGGACAGATTTCCATGAGTATGAAAGTACAGACCTCACCTTTCCTGCAGCTTGATAATATCTATATGTACATTAGTAAGCAGCAGGTTATCAGCTGTAAATCCACTGCAACACAGCCTCATGGTATTCTGTTTGGGTAACTTACATTTATTCCACATCCTTTTGACACAACAGATGGGTGACAAGGAGGGGAGTCTGAGTACAGAGAAAAGCTGGTGGTGAGAATTGGACAAAGGTAGGAGGCTGGAACACCAAGGAAGATGTTTGCACAGCAAGAGGGAGAGACAGGTAACTACAACAGGCAGTGGAAGATCAGCAGAGCAAAGGAAACAAGCGCAAACGAAAGAGACGCTCACCTTCGGAGGTGGAACTTGAGGTAGCGCAGGATCCCTCTGCTGGGCAGGAAAGTGCAGCTCATACAGGTCATCAGCTGCCAGTGGTGCAGGTTGCCAGCACTGTTGGGATGTGGCATGTGGTTGGTTTGCTTGATGAGCTGACAGTACACTTCATCTCGGAGGGGCTTTAAATCATGGCAGGTCTGCAGGATGCCTTGGATAATGGGTATGGGGTCAGACACTGTCTCGATTTCCTGAAGGGAGTTAAAGATCTTCACTGCTTCATCCTGTAAGCTGCTGTAACCCTTCTCTTGTTGCACTGGGGAACAATCACAAAGGTGACAAGAGGTGAACATCTCCCTCATTTTCTATTGGCCCAGCAGTACTACAGTCAACTCTACTCCTCTGTCATGGAAGAACAGCAACCTGAGCATTAGTGCATATCCTGAACTTAAATTTATACTTTAAGTTCATCAATGCTTCCTCTCCAAATGTTCAAATGTAGTTTTAATTTGTATTTGCCAACATCTGATTTGTCACCACTCCCAATCCATTTCTGGATAGACTGCACAGAAAAGCAGAGTAATATTTTTAAGGGAAATGAACATTGAAATCTAGTTCAGGCTTCAGTGTCTGCAACCAAAGTAATGGAATGTGGCCAGTGAAGCCTGGCTTGTTTAATTCCAAAATTCTGTGTTGTGTCTGTATTAGCTTTGACCCCTGGGCCAATAGAGAACTTAGGCAAATTGCTGTACCACAAATGCATCTTATACCTATTGTTTAGATTTAAAATGCTTACACCAAAACCTGAGTTTTTTGAGCACCTAAATGTCTGCTTTTTGAACTGCTCAGACATGTGTGATAACATTCAGATGCATGCTTCCATCCTCCTGTGCACATCTTGGGCTTTAGGTCCTTCTGAATCTCCTGTACAGCCACTGCTTCCCCTGTGGCCATGTATTAACTGTACAATACAAAGACACAGCTCTAAAAAGTAAGTTCCACAGTGTGTTTGCTCTGTATTTTTCCTGTATTTCAGAATTTCCTTTTCTGTGCTTTTAATCTGCCATGTAATTGGATTGTGACAGACCTAATATCCTTTCACTTTCTCCATGACATTCTTCTGATCCTAAAAATTTCATTTTGAGGCTGAAGAATCCTGCTCTCTATTTAGTCAAATAATTGTAGGCAAGTTCTTCTGTACCTTTGATCATCTTTGGGTAGGTCTTTACATCTCCTCTATATTTGATGAGATGTAGAAGGCAAAACTGTCTCCTGTACTCACGATGCAAGTGTATGATACATATACAGCTGCACAAAGACTTTATTTTTCCTTTTCTAAGCTTTCAAAACCTTACATTAGCTGTTTTGTTTCTGTACTCAGAATTTACCGCTAGAGTTGACATTTTCATAAGCTATGTAAATTGATGTTCACTTTCATAAGCACAGCTAGATCACTACCTGTGTGGCAGACTGTTTTTCCCAAATACATTGCTTTGATTGAAATTAATTTCTTAAAAGATTCTGTGGCTCAGTCACTCCAAAGAGACATTCTTCTATAGTTCTTCACCAGCTTTCAGTTTCAGTATGTCAAACAGTCCGTAATCATCAACAAATCACTTTGGTTTCTGGTGGCCCATTACTCTAGCCCTTTCTTGTTTCTGACACTTTTGAAAAAAGGGTTCATTTCATCTGGTTTTACAGCAGAAAACTGTAAGAACTGTAAGAAAACTTCCGCAGAAAAACTACCCCACTGCCAGCTGCAAGATGTAATCCTATTGTAGTATTTCCAATGGAGCCACTCACAACCCAGCTGTGGCTAAAGGATGACAGGCTGCATGTCCCCTGGATGGATGATAAAACTATTTGCTCCCATTTACCCTAAGATTCCATGATCCCATAAGAGGCAGTGAAAATGCACACAGTCCAGAGAAGAAAGGAACAGAAAGGGCCTGCTCCCTCCCTGAACCCTGTGGGCCACACTGCCCCAAACAGACAGAGAGAGCTTACAGGCCCATTTTGTGGTGCTCAGGCTCCTCAATGACCCTCAAAATGTGAGTGGATTCTGCCACTTGGGTAAAATACTTACAGTTGACACTGACATCTCCATAGGGTAATGGGAGCAGTGGGGAATGCAAGGGGTGCTGGGTGTATCTCAAGATTGGGTTCCTCCTATATGTCTGTTCCACTACTTCAAAGTTTGTGCTGTTTTCCTGGAAAAGAAAGCAAAAAATCATTATCCTCAAATAGACACAGTCCTTTTCAGGAAGCCCTTACACATTTAGGCTAAAGCTCAAGCATCTTTTCTAAATTTCTGGAGGTACCTAGGGGGACTAAGTGATCAAAGCATAATCTGTATCTAGAAATTACCCTGTACATTATTTCTGAAAATTAAACTCAAGAATAGCCATGCTACATCATCCCACAGGTCACCAAGCACAGAATCTTGCCTTCAAGCATGGCTTGCATAATACATGTAGCATGATCCCTCTCTCCTATGTCCTTCAAGCTTTCAACAGGACATGGTTAATGGACTTTCTGACCACAACCATTTTCAGTGAGTAATAATGAGCCTGTTCTCAGCTTGTCTGGTTGTGTTATATGTGTTTACAGAATGAACAACCAAAATGCTCCATGGTGTTCAAAATCTGGGCCTGTCACTACCATACACACTGGATCACATTCTTCTGCATTTTGTCCTAGACTTCTTCCTAATAATGTCCTTGAACCTCGAGCTGAAGTTTTCCACCGTTTTCTACAATCACTCCCAGCTCTTTCTTCCTAAATAAAAACTATCTAATTGCATCTAGTTTAGAGTTCATCACAAACGCACCTCTACTGAAATTTGCTTTGGTGTGTCTTCTTAAATGATTCTAGGTCTATTTGCCAAAGTTTCTGGCAAGTTTATTCTCAAAAATTTCTCCTGTGGTACAATTTCTGCTATTTTTAAGGATATTATCCGTCCACCCTTTACTCTGATATTTAACCATGCAAGCCTAAGGTATGAAGAGAACTTCAGTGTATATCAAAGTCAGATGGCTGCTAGGGATGATTTTTTTTGTATTTGTGTCTGAGGGATGCTTAGGAGTGGAAAGGATGGAGTAGAGATTTGCAAATACTTGATGGTCTAATTCTGCATGCAATTTTTAACTGCACAGAGTCGTAGTCTAGACTTATGGAGACCAGCTAGCAAAATAAAATTCATGTAATATTTATTTTTTTTGTTGCACAGTTGTGTGAATCTATTTTTTTACCCTTTTTCATTCTCCCCTTAAGACAGTAACCCCATTTTTTGCCACATTCTCAGCAATGACTGTGTTAGGCCAGTGGTGGTCTGGCTGCTCCCAAGTCACATGGGGACTAGCAGGATGTCACCTACCCTGATGTCACGGATGAGCTGCTGTGTGGGTGTTTCTATAGGCACCTTGCTGTCGATGACGCCCTGGATGGCCGAGGCCCAGCGCATGGCTTCGTTCAGCAGCTTGGTGTACAGCCTGTACGAGTGCTTCCGCCCGTGCACGATGATGTTCCAGTAGCCTGCCAGAAACAAAGGTGGGAACAAAGGTGCAAGGTGAAACTGGCTGCCCTATTATGGAGCTGACTAGAGATTAGCAAATGTCACATTCACCTACAAGAAGGGCCAGAAGAAGAATCTGGGGAACCACAGGTCTGTCAGGTCAGCCTTGATACCAGGGAAGGCTATGGAGCAGATCAGCTCTCAAGGAGAGCGATGGAGCTGGGCAAGGGGTTGGAGCACAAGTTCTGTGGCTGAGGGAGCTGAGGGTGTTCAGCTTGGAGAAAATAAGGCTCAAGGGGGACCTTATTACTATCTACAACTACCTGAAAGGAGGATGTAACCAGCTGGGGGTCTGTGCCTTCTCGCAGGTAGCAAGCAACAGGACAAGAGGAAAGGACTGCCAACAGACTGTCCAAGGAATTGGTTGAATCACCACCCTGGAGGCATTAAAAAATGTGTAGATGTGGCACTTAGGGACATGGCTTAGTGGTGGACTTGACAATGTTAGGCTAGGGGTTGGACTTGATTATTAAGGGATCGTTGATTCTCTTTTTGCCTGTAGCTTGTGGCTGATGTAAAACCCCTGCTGCTTTCATAGCAATATACAGTGTGTCTGGTTAAAATCCTCAAGGATAGACATTAACAGCCCCATTGCCAAAACAGATTTATCAATAAGCAAGTCCCAGTCCAGATTCTGGTACAAAGACAGCTTTCCAAGATGGAAGTATCTTGCAGTGTAATCTGACTACCTGCCTGCCAACCAGGCAGCTCACTTTCACAGACAGCATTTGGACTACACCATCCTGTTAATCATGTGGAAAATGACCACTCTACACACAGCACCTAGTCAGATTGCCAAATCAACTCTCAGAACTTTTAAAAATATTTTTGACAACCTGAGAGAATGTGTCAAGGTGATAGCAATTCTATCTGCTAAAGGCAGCTCTAGGCATCTGTTGATACCAAAAATGTGGACACTTTGTTGTGAATGAGCAGAATAAATTTCCTCTCATCTCCCTTTACTAAATACTTCCAGCTTCCAGCCCTTTTATCCCATGTATCCAAAACAACTCCAGTATTCAAATGTCCAGTATTTCAAGTATTTTTCCAATGTTCACAACCCCTGTATGAGGGATTCACCCTTTATCACATAACCTGGGTTCCCTTCCAACTCCTAAGGCAAGCAATGGAGGATCATGCCAGATCCTGCCCTCCCAGAACTCTGTCATGTTGCACAGAAAGCAAACACAGGCCTTTGCTATCTTTTGTTTCTATTAAATTGAGTACCATAACACATGTACTTTACATCCCTTACAGTGCATGGGATGGCTGCTATTTAACAGGTTAACACTGATCCCAGAGACAAACGCAGGTCATGCTACAAAGTGACAGTTCTGGAGATGTACTAATAATTACTGTCAACTACAGGAACTCACACCTGTTACCTTGCCTGGGGAACACTGAGATCAGCAGTGGCTCTACTCAGTGAGAAACACCAGCACTGTGTACCTGTGTCAGGTGTGAGGCACCTTGCACACTTTGCAAATCTCTTACAGCGTCTATGGGCAGAGACGTTCGCTGCCACACACAAAGCCTCAAGTGACATCCAGACTGCCTTCTCAGCATGCCACACCCCTACAGCCCTGCACCATCCCCTCTTCAGGTGCTGCACACCTGGAGCCTGCCCTTTGCCACCTTCTCCCTCTCACCTGTGTCTTTAAAGACCCTCTCATCGGGCTGCACCACGGAGCAGAGGCTGTTGAGCACGAGCGTCCCCAGCTTGGCCGCCGTGCGCTCAGAGGACTTGTAGTAGTCGAGGGCAGTGTTGGTCAGGACAAACCAGCGCTTCTTCATCTTCAGGGAGGACATCTTGTTGCTGCTCTGAACCTCCTTATGAAGCCAGCCTGGCACAGAAACACAAACATATCATTATGTGCATCTCTTGCTCCCATGGTCAGGACAAATAATTTCACTGTCATTTTAGATTTGTTGCAAAATAAAGTTAAAAAAAAAAAAGATTAAGAAAAACTTCAATAGAAAAAAATTACAGCCTGCATTGCTAAAGCTGTCAAAAAGATAATTTTCTACTCAGAGGTGTAAAAAGCAATGTCCACCCACAAGGCAAAATGTTCAAAAACAGTGGGACTGAACCAAGAGGCTCAGAAAAAAACAAAAATATATAGATCTTACTGAACATAGGCTTTTATGTGTCTACTCTGTCTACTCTGCTGTTACAGAGACATCTTATGAAGAGCACAGCATACTCCCCAAAGGATCATTTCTTTTTCTCTTTGACTAATGAACAATACCAGATAAAAGGAACTGTTGACTTGCAATTAAGTATTTTGAAGTTAAGGAACTCAAACAGTTGTCTTATAGTCTCCTTTGTATCATTCAATCTCCTTGAAATTTTCAAGACTACGCTGGAAGGCTTTTGCCACATTTTGGTGACCCTTTTATTCCTGTCCTTCTGCCTTGCCATGACCACTCCATGACCTTTATTTCTTCATAGACACTTCTGGAAGATGCAAGGCAATTTGTTCATCCACTTCCTTTTCCACAGACTGGATCAGGAGTGTCTTCATACATATAAGACCATGTGATGAGCTCAAAGTAGAGAGGAAATTTAAAAACATTTAAAACAAATGGGTGAATATTTTGCAATATGAGTATTTTGCAATATATGTGTGATCCTTACTCATGCTCCGCCATCTTCGACTAAGGATGTAATTCAAAGCTTTTGCTCAACCCCAGAGAATTTCTCTCATGTCACTCTGTCTACCATAACCAGGTTAGTTAGTTTAGCTGAGGACAGCAGCAATCCCACAAAGATCTCTCTCCCTCCCTCCCTCCCTCTCTACATGACAGGTGTCAGAAGGAACTGAGCTGCCAACAAAAGCCACAGTGTCATGTTTTAGTCCATCTAAGCCAGCTGCTCCTCATCAGCAGCCATGCTTCTTCCTACTCCCTGGTGGCATTTGCCAGACATGTTTAAATAGGCTAGAACTATCACCAGAAAATGAAACATATGAAGCTTTTTCTTTTCCCCCACCTGGCAGGGAATTAGATAAGAGCCAAGGCTAGCACCCACATGACATAGCAAGCAGCAGGCAGGAAGGTAGAGGGGGGGCAGACAATGACAGTTTTTGGGGAGCAGCTAAACCCTAGACTGAGTTAGCAACAATCAAGTCTCCCTGTCAGATGATAAGCAGAAGATGGGTTGCACATGTAATGGCATGTATTTCCTTTCACCTCTCACAAGGAACTCCTGGCCATCCACCTTGGATTCGCCTTTGGGTTTCTGCAGCAGGGAGATCCAGTGATGCATTTCCTCAGGAGTGTCGCTGTTGCAGTGAATCACGCGATTGGCCGTGATGATCACAAAAGAATTTGGTCTGCCAGAAAACAAAAGCATTAAAATTAGTCATAACCACACAAATAACTCACAGCACACCCAGAGTCATGCTTTTTACCTTCCCATAAACAGAAAGACTTTCTGAATACAAACTACAGAGGAGTGCAGAAATACTTAAGATCATCTCTTCTTCAGTGGCTCTGTCAACTGATGAATGCAGAGACCAGCTAAATGAAATTAAATATCTTTCAAATGCTACTTCCAAAGACTAGAAAATATTAATTAGTTAATAAGCAGCTGTTAAATGTCCTTTGACTGGAGTGAACCAGTGCTTGTACCACTGGGCTGAGCTGGTACAGCCATTCTCCTTACTCACTGGTACTTATTAAAACCAGTGATGCAACAGCAAACACTGGTCTCAGTAGGATCAGCTACAACATGTTTGAGATTGGTTTTACAAAGGATGAGCTGATCCTGACAAAACAGAGGAAAAATTGTTGTGTTGCCCCTGGATGACTTTGTCCTTCTCCTGCAACTGTATCTTACTAAAGAATATTCACAATTCTGTACAGAATTGATGCTTTACAGGAAAACTGAAAAATAGAAGTATGACCAGTTCTAGGAGGATAGACTCATAAATCTTTGAAAGCAAAATCAGGTTTCTATGAGAAAATAGAGAAATTGAAAAGCAGAATGCAAGTATGAAGCAAAAGGTGCAATCAAGCTCTGTTAGAAAAATGCATAAATCTATGGAAGATCAAAATAAGCTGCATAAAAATGTTGTTTGAGAATAAGCATTCTCCTCAGAATGTGTTTAACATTGCTTCAAGCACTGACTTTCCAGAAAAGCATACATCAGCACACACAGAAACAAATTTTCACTGTTAAGCTTACTATTTGTTCCTAGTTTCCACTGGTTCACAGATTAATTATGAGGAGTACAGGCTGAGAACTGCCTAAAATGTTTCCATCGACGAAATCTTAGTTCATTTCTGAAGTGCATTTTCTAAACTACTAAAAACAAAGTCCTAGCAACCTGTGTCAGAGCCCAGAGCTCTGTCCCCAGACTACAGAGATAAATAACTTAATAGCTAACATTTTACTTCAGCACTGTGGTATCTTTGCCCTGGCTGAACCTGTTAGTATGTGGGAAATAATTAAATGTTAACATAAAGGGATATGAAACGTCCCATCATCTCTTCTCTGAAACTAACTAAAGGTCTGTGCTCTGCATTGCAAAGATATCAAGACTAATACAATTTCTAAATTCATCCATTATTCTCCCACAATGCTGTTTCTTTCCCCTGAATCTACAAAATTAACTCAAAATTACTCCGTTGAAAAAATGGAAGCACTGCTTTTGCTGGACATATTTGTTCAGTGCTAGTGGTAGGTAAAACTATAATTTTCTGACATTGAGATTATACTGTTTTCACTTTTAGGAGTTGAAGGAGAAACTTTGACTTGAAGACAATACATATATGGATTTCATGCCTGTGAAGTGACATTGGTTGAAACAAGCTACAGATTTCAGCTATGTTTATTTGTCTAGAGAAAGAGATGTATGAGTTTCAACGAATACAAACCCCAAAGGAAACCTGGACCTACCCACAAAAATATCGTAGGGAGTTTCTGATTTAAGAGATGGTCAGATTGTTGTACCTACCTATCAGGATTGTCTGAGGCACAGACAGAGTCAATAAGCCCAACATCCAGGGTTCCCTGTGAAATGAAGAATACATAGATTGCATTTTAGATTACAGGTGTTCTCCTCTGTGAATAGGACTGGAATTGAAACCACTCATCTGAATTCCAACAGCTTGAGTAGAAATGAACGCATGAGAAAGGCACAAGTGAGTCATCTTTGCTCCTTAAACAGCACAAGACATGCAAGGGGCTCCACAGGACTGGAGCAAAAACATTTACAAGTTTCCAGAGGGTATTATGAAGGTCTGAAATAACCTTAGCTTTTATCTCTGTACTGGCAAAATTACATAAATACACCGTTTTTCCCAACTGCTATCTTCTGTCTGGATAACTGTGACCCAGACTAGTCGCATCCAAAGACATTTTATCTGTGTGAGGCAGCCTCCCTCTTCTCCTCCAACTGAAAAGAGCTATCTGTCATCAAGCTGAGCAACCCACAACAAGCACCATGTTCTCCACTGCTTATCCTCTTTGCTACCAGCTTTGCTGTTTCTTTATAATTACCAATGTCCAAGTTTCTTACACTGCTAAAGAAGTACAGCACTGCACGTGCTGGAAAAACACGCACAAATAGTTAAACACAGAGGGCTCCAAGCATGCCCACAGGCTGGTTGCACAGTAACTCACCACAGCATTCTTTGGATTGGCCTGCTCATCCTGCATTTCCCTCAGCTGCTGTGCTGTAGCGCTGTGCACTCGGCTCAGAACATTAAACCAACCGCTGCCAACCAAAACAGAACCACAGTTAAACTTTCAGTAGTGAAACTGGCTCGAGAACACAAATTAAGGAACCTGGAAAGATTTCAGTGGGAAAATTTCTTCATTCACAATTTCCTGAATACTATGTCAAAATATCTTTTGGGCTGATCATACCAGATTCCAATGTCTTCCTTCCTCCTTATTTATCCATGAAAATTCTGTGCACGTTCTTCAACCCACTAACAGCTGTTCCGGCAAAATCCAGTTTTCCACTTGTTATTCAAGGAACTCTTAAGTAGGCAGTGGCTTTACAGGGAGCCCATGTCAGCAGACTGAGAAGAGCATACAGCACTTTTAAAAACAGGGTTAGCTGGGAATCTTCCTGTCCTAGAGTCCTAGAGACGCCTGGGAGCCTTCTTGATTAGTCTCTCTCTGATCTGCTAATAAACTTGAAAGTCATATGGCTGGCAATTAATCATGGGTTTGTTTATAAGTGAATTGGAAGTGAAGTTTTTTGTCTGTGAAAGGGCTCCTCTTACAGACATATCTGGAGGCTAATCACTGCTGCAGAAAAAGCAGATTCTTATCTGCAGCTTCCAGTGAGATCAGCAAACATCCATACTTCATGGAGGATTCTCAGACTGGATACTCCAGGACATCTGCTAATCTGCCTTTTGCTACTGTGAGTGCTGGTGCTTTCTTCTCCCTCAGAAGAGAGACTGATAGGGCATAGGCAGAGGCCACATTTGGTTTATACTCCTCCTAACAATTCTGCAGTGTTATCTTAGGGCATGCCTACTGCAGCTGTGGTTCTAGGGTAAGTTACTGTTCCTTCCACCACTGCTCTGTACATTTGCCCTTTGTTGTCCATGTGGCTGTTCTTCAGTCTATTTCTGTTAAATTGCATCCAAACACCTTGCCCCTTTCCTACACCAAAATAATAATAAACCCTAAATAACGTCACAGAACCAGTAGATCAGAGAAACAGCTACACCGTCAGGGCTGAGAGAGCAAAAGCCTTGGTAAAAGTGGGAAGACATGAGTGGTTGGGGACAGAAACCTCCTAACTTGGCTTTGCATAGCCAGGACAGGTTGTCCAACCTGCCCTTAAACAACTGATTCCCACTGTCTGGCCAGGATGCCAAGAAGGAAGGACATGAGTCACTTGTTTGCTTTGCACTTGGAAGATTTTATCAGATGACACTACAGACTCTGATAAGCTGCAGCCTTTTTCTGTCTCCTGGATAAAACCCAGCTGCTCTCGCAATCATTTACAGACAACATGAATAGACTTTTTGTTTGATTCAAGATTCCATTAAATAAATAAATCAGCTATTAGATGTTCCAGCTTATATTAAGGTTTGTGTGTCTGCTGAAGTAACCCTTGAATTCCACATGCTCACAGCCACATGAGAAGCTGGCAGTCCTGTGACTGCCAGACCGAACCACAACCTTGGTAGCTGTAACATCAAGTCCCCAAAGTAGGTGTGATGCATCCCAGGAATCACGAAATGACACTCTGGAACAAATCCCCCATTTTCTCCAGTAAAAGAGAATTGATTATGTTTCTAAAACTCTCCCATGAGTAGCTGGGTCAGGCCTGCACTGAATGAACAAACCTAACAAAACTCCCTGCTGTACCTGGCATCTTCTGGTGACTCTGCAACAATGTGGTAAACTCGGTCTTCTGTCACAATGTCCAAGGCATTCTCCTTTTCATGAATATCCACAATCTCTCTGGAACACAAGAAAGCACAAGAGCCAAAGCTAAAAACCTTTCACAGGCCTGAATTCCATCTGGTTGATTCTTTCACATCATACCCTTCACCACACAGAAGGGAAAGCACTTGGTTCAGATGGCTTGTAACTCCGACAGAAATACAAAATTCCGCCAATACACATCAAGATGTTTAAAAAGATCTGTACAGTTAAAAACCAAAGCTTAAGGCATTATATAGATTTTCAAGACACCAACAGACTAAATGGAAGAAGAGATAACAGGGAGGCTGATATAGAGATCTGTTTACAAAGTCGGGTGTGCCATTCTTTTTGGCACTTTACAGGCCTGCATAATGCTAATAGGTGACCAGTCTGTCCTTTCTTACAGCAGGAGCTGAGGAATTGACTATGGCAGCAGAAAGAGCATTCAGGACTCAGGAAAAGGCACAGTACATGCTGCCAAATTCAAATCCCACTGTGAGCTTCATAATACCTCTGTGAAATGCCTGGAGAAGCCAGAAAACAGATGGAGTCTGGGTAGGAGAGAACGCATGGGGTATGTACTTAATTAGCCCCTCCTGGTCTGGCTCCATCCATGGCTTGGAAAGAGCTGCTGCTGGATTATGAAAGGCAAGACTGGGAAAAGAACTATCAAGTAATCACAGACTCCCTCCAGAGTAAAACTAGATGCTGTAATTGCCTTTTCCTTCCTTTGTTTCTGATTCTCCAAGCACCATAGGAGATACACAGGCCAATGAACAGCAGCTCTGGAACCTTCATTACTGATTTAGAGAGTGAATACTGGGCATCAAAGGGATTTCTTTTTGCACTCACTTTGCCCTTCTGATATCAATAGTCCCCTTCAGCTTCTCCTCACTATCATTCTCGAAGTACATCAGCTTGGACTCCCGAAGCACAAACCAGCGGCGTTTCCAGTTGCGGCGCGACAGGGTTGACATTCCTCCCCCTTTTTTGTAGAGCCAGCCTGACTTGAGGGCCTCCTGCTTGGTGCGGAACCACATGAAGGCCTCGTTCTTCAGGACACACCAGCGCCGCCGCCACGGGTTCATGAGACCTCCTGCAAAAGAGAGGCAGCAAATCTTCAGCAGACACACAACACGGGCCATGCTTCCACTCTGAGCCTGCCCCGGGCAGGAATAGTGGCCACTTCAGTTCCTACATCAAAAAAAGGAACTGAAGGAGAGAAACAAAGTTGTGCCTAATTTCAAACATAGAAAAAACAGAACAAAACTAGTGAAACAAAAGCAAAATATAGAAATACATGCACTACTGAAGTATTTTTGTTCTGAGTTCAGTTTCATAGCTGAGAATGAATCATTTAAGCCCATACCAAGTAGGCACAATGAAGTCTCAGTGGCAAAGATATCTGTCATCCAGCTCTCTCTCTATTTGCTTTTTTAAATAAAAGAAGAAGAAAAAAAAAAGAAGAATAAACTGAGAAGTTAGAGCAAATAAAGATGATGATTCTGGACAAACAGAAGAGGAAAGTAGGTTTCCTGGATCCCATCTATCTATGGTTTTAGCAAAATCCACTTACCTTTCATATAGAGGTAACTGTGAAAATAGGGTGGACCTGAACCATTGAAGATAGTGATTCGTCCATTACAAAACTCTTCATCTGTATCAATGTAAACATCCACTTCTTCCTCACTCTCCAGAAACTAAAGAAAAAGAAGAGATACAGGCTACTTGGGTTCTCCTGGTCACAGGAGGACTGGAGCAGTTAATAGGGTTAGAGAAGTCACATGATCAGAAGGTGTAAAACTACACATAGTCCCTTTGTAAAAAAAGCACTACAGTAAAAGTAGAGGCTTGACAGCTTATCCATTAACGCCTAAAGCAAGAGCATGGAATTTTCATACCTGAAAGGAGAGCAGTGGACAGGCCTAGAAAGCTCCAGTTCCCTGCAGTAACAAAACTCCCTGTTTCAAGGCACCACCCACCTTGCATAATCTAATTTGATGGGATTAAGAGACAATTTTTCATTTTGGAGAAGTTTTCTGATTTTTCTGGCCACAATGCCAGACAAGATGGAACAGTGATTTAACCCCAGCAAGGAAATTACTTGTTCTGGGTTAAGAAAAAAAGCACAGTCCAGGATAACTGAACCCTAAAAACATCAATCTGAATTACTGAAATAACAGTACTGAATTTACTCATCCCTGTTCTCCAACTAGATAAAGACCCTCAGCCATAAGAAAGTATTTCACACACAAAATAATTTCCTTTACCCTAAATACAATTTCCTTTGATTTGCTTTAATTATTTAATACTAATGAAGGCAGTTCCTTAGACCTTTTCCTTCCTCAAATGCATGTTGCTTCTTTTGAGTTCCCTTCTGCCTTCTCTCTGTGACCCTTTTGTCTCATCCCTGGTCCACTCATTCATTCCCTCCCTTGGCATTAAGTTTCAAAAATCAGGTAGTCTTCAAACAGCAGCTACTGATAGCATCTTGACTCACCAGTGGTTATCACTTCCTGTGGCTCACACTATGACAAAATAGCAACTGGTTTTTTCATTAGTCTTACTCACCAATGAGCCCAGTAAAACCCTCCACTTCTATTTGCATTTTAATGGTAGAAACTAGCCTAAGCTGTGACAGAATGATTCATGATTTGAAGAATACCTGACAGTGATCTGTGAGTACCTGCCCACAGAGAAGGTACCTTTACTCAAGAGGTCACATAAAAAGTTCGGATGGCTGGCAGCTGACATTAGGGAAATGTAAACAAGACAACCATGCAACTTTTTTAAGAAAGGTCACAATCTGTCATTGAGAGAACACAGTGAAGGAAGTAAATCTGAGTTCCTAAAAGAAAAGATATTTTGTAGTTCAAGTGTCTCTTCTCAGGGATATCATTTATTAGAAGTATTTTTGCAGCTGTCATTGGCTTCACACCTGAACTCCTCACTATCTTATGTGGGCCTTGACATCCTGGTCCTGTAAGGGGATTTATCACTGCATTAGTAAGCAGCTGGCCTGAGAGCACTCAGGAGGTCCAGAGTCAGTGTGGGATCTCAGCTGAGGTGCTGAAGTGCAAGGCCAATAGCCCAGCTCTACCACCCTGTCATTGTCCCTGCAGCAGGAATGAAAAGGTTCAGTGATCCTGGCAGTGTGCTTTGGGACTCAGCCCAATGAGCACAGTAATTTCTTCCAGCTTTAGAATAGCTTAACTTGTATACAGCAGCTGAAAATAAACCCTTGACTCTGAACAGACTTAGAACAAGAGAAGTTTTAGAGATGGAGACAAATCAGCCTTTCCCAGCTCCTCTTGTCATTGCACACTGAAATGTGCAATGTCCTTTCTGTGAAATCTCAATTAAGCAGAAAATACACCTACAAAATACCAGTTGTTTGCTTTCCTTTCTCCTAAAGGGTGTTACAATAACATATGGCAATGGAAACAATCTAAAATAGGTACACATGTACTAGCTTGTGTGCCAGCAGACACCAGACAATCACAAGCCCTCTGGCCTTCAGCCTATCTATGACTCTTCCCTTTTTTTCAAGCTGATTATTGATATGAGAGTTACATATCAGTAACTATACCCAGAGAGAGCAGGCATACAGTAAGAACACACAGGTATTATAAACATCAACAAAGTCACACTAATGTCCAGAAGGGTGAAGGGAGAGATTCTCACCGAGTCCAAGCTGCCACGGTTGGAGTCCAGGCTGGTACCATGGGAGTGTCTCAGACCCTCCTCATCATTCAGAGGCTCAGCTGAGGCGTTACCTGCATCTCCATAGCCATCAAACTCCTCATGGTCATAGTCAGACTCCACATCAGGGGGGGAGGTGTAAATGGGCTCTCCTGCCTCTCCACTGTTACTCCTCTGCGTATCAGAGACACTGCTGTAAACACTTTCTGCTGGGTCAGACAGGGCTCTCTGCTCCTTGGGGCTACTGGCTCTTTTCACAGGCAGCCCTGGAGCAGGGGCAACCTCTCCCACTTCCCTCTGGAGAAGCAAAAGGCTTGTGTTTGCAACTTCCTCTGAGTAGTTACCACTATTTCTTGTGCCATGCTGATTTGAGACCACCAAACTGGAAGTTGGGCGTCCTTCATCATCGGCATGAAAACCCTCATCCACCTCTTCTTCAGCCAGTGGTGCCACCAGGCTGCAGTCAATGTTGAGTGTCCCCTCACTAGAAAGTGAGCGCTCCAAGTTCTGCACACTTTCATCCAGATTGCCAAAATCCAGCAGCTCCAAGAATTCCTGGGCAACCCTTGATGCCTCTTTTTCCAACCTCTGTATCTCTTCTTCTCGCTGCCGACAGATTTCATTTCTGGTGTCTTCAGAGATGACAGACATGTGATCCTCTTTCTGTTGCTGCAACTTTTCAATCTCCTTCTCCAGTCTTAAGATCTCCTCCATCTGACGTCTCTCTTCTTCTTGCAGGGGAATATCCACCTCCTCAGTGTTTACTGTTTCCACCTTAAAAGAATTTAGAACAGTGTTAAAGCACTTTCTTCAACCTTCCTTGCCTGGACCTTTCATTCTTCCTGTCTCCTGTGCTCGCCTTATACTTACCACCTGCAGAAAGATGACTCCAAGCATCCTGCAATCATTCATGGTGTAAAAGCTAAAGGTAGAACTACTGGATCTTCAAGTACCTCCTTTTTCCCAGCAATCTACCTCCATTATGAATCATACAAAAAAGCTCACTGGGTTCAGTGAATTTTTAGAAAAGCCTCTCTATCTGTTGGTCACTGTACACTGCAATTCGAATAAAAGCAGCCTCAAAGTCCGTTCTCTCTTTTTGAACTCACACACATATAGGAGAAAGCAACTATATATGAATACATACATGCATAGGCTACTTAAGAGCTGAAGATCTCCCAGAAATTCATTAAGAGGTCTGGAAATTTCACTGTTTCCTGAAATGAGGATCTGACCATTAGAATCTGGGGCTGGAAGGGCTATTTGCATGAAGCAGGACTGATCCACTCCAACCACAGCCCAACACAACTCCACCCAGAATTTCTCTGCATTCTTTACCATCACTAGATGGCTGATGGCTGACTGCTGAAGACTCTGTCTTACTCTAAATTTTCCACATTGAAGTAACAGGAAATTTCTATCAGATACATGATAATTGGAAGATGGAAGATACTGGTAACTTTTACTGATGTTTTGGATAAAGCCACCCTTACCTCCACAGAGGATGTTGAAAACATACATATCAGAGAACAGATACACACATGAGACAAAGTAAAAACAAATTCCAACAGGATTTCTTGTACTTCTTGATAGGACTTATGACAATGCAGTCAATATATTCACTCATTTAAGCCTTAATCCTTGTTTTCTTTATTTATCTAGTTGCTGGTTCTCTACTTGACTCTTACTTGTAGATGAATGCATTTCTATGCTTCCAACCTCTCCTGAACAAAGACGGGGAACAAGTGGTATGGGAAAAAAAACAATGAAATGCACAGCCATTTTCACACACCTCAGGGTAGGTGGTCTGCTCTTTGGTATGTCAAGTACCAACAATTAGATCAGTTACAAGGGGTTTATTTTAGCCATGGCAGCAGTTGGCTGCACTCTTATTTCGGCTGTTACAGGCAACAATCCAGCAAAACAGACTGTGTCACAGTGTAGCACATCACAAGGTTATCTAACAAGTTTAAGCAGTAGAGATAAAAATAGGATGCTGCATGTTCAATATGGAAATTTTCAAATAGAACCAGTGCAGGCTCATACCAGAGCCTTAAAAAAAGTCCTACCTTGTCAACTCTGTGCACCTTTGCCTGCAGGTTTTGCGTGAACAAAGCTCATTTTTTAAATAGTGTTGTCATAATACTGATGCTGCTACAACAGTATCAGTATCCAGGCAAAGCAGAGGCAATGAAGGACTCTTCACAGATATTCACAAGAAACCATGTGAAAAGAACAACTCTTAAACTTACCTGGGCCACCTGCAATAGCGCATTCAGTTGCTCCTTTTCTCTGTTAAAAACAAAACATAACAGTCAGAGACAGACCTAGTTCTCCTACGTGAGGTTTTCAGAATTACATGCACACATCATCCCTCCGTGGATAAGGTTAAAATGAGGTACTTGCTGTAAGACTGATTTAAAAGCTTTTGCAATTTAGTAAAAATCCAATTCTCTGTGGTTGGCATGACCTTTGTGGATGTAACAGATTTTCCCCATGCACTTAACTTTCAGATCAATTAGGAAATTAGATTAGTTGGAAAACACCAGGAAGGACATTGGAAACAGTGACAGAAAGACAAATCAGACTCATGATAAATGTAAACAGAATCTTCTGAAGTACAATAAATCTGTGCATATTGAGGTTGTGTAATTGACAGCTATCAGGAAACTGTTCATTTTTTAAAAATAGAATTATTGCAATACTAGCACTGAATTTGTGTTTTGTTTTGCTTTTACTGTATTAAAGCCCCAACTCACATGACTTCTCAGTGGCATGCTAAATCCAGTTTATTAGTGAAGACTGTAAGAGTCAGAGTTTGTTAGTAAACACGAGCAGAGGATAAGAACTATCCCACAGTGTTGCAGCTCTACCCAGTTCAAAAAGGGTACACTCCAAACCAAAGCTGTCACTATGGCCAGTTTCTCCAGAGCAAGAATGCCACAAACAACCGAACCAGCAGACAGACAAATGCCAGGGTCATGCTTAGGGAGCAGGAATAGGATGCTGCTGGATGGAAGAAAGTGACCACTGCCAGTGGTGACTTTCAAACCTATAATTCAACCCCAGGGAGAACAGAAGGGCAATGATATTTTTTTCCCAGGCCATGCAGATTTTCCGGGACAAATTCTAAACTGCAGCTGTAAGTCACAAAGTCCTTAAAGTGCTTACTCTTGTGCTCACACTCTAAAAAAAAATCTAGGAAATATTTGTAAATGAAAGCTGACATAGTGAGATCCAGATGGTTCCAACTCCACTGAAAGATCCCCAGCAGTCACCATGAGTAAAACTACTGCCTTAAATTACAAGAGAGCTCAAAAGCGCAACCATTTTAAAACACATTAGGAGTGCCACCTATAATCTACATACAAATTCCTGCAACTGTTGCTCACAGTTTTTAAACCTTTGGTATTTCTTCCTGCTTTCTAGTCATCATCAACTGATCTACACTCCTCCTGAAATGTGATACCCAAAACTTGGGACAGTATTCCAAATGAAGGGTACTGAAGCATCACCCATCCTACAGAAACAATTCTGTTTACAGAGAGCATTTGCTTTCCCCTCTCACACAGCATGACACTGGTGACACACTCAACTTAGCCTGCAGACCTTCCTCCTGCTGTTGAAGTAAGCATTCCTCCTCCGCTCCCCGTGCACTTGATTATTCCTGACTGTAAATCTGCATATGTCTGTACCCAAAGTTATCCTGTTTTTCAGATCCTTTAACTTGCCAAAATTATCTGAACTGTAATCCTAGGCTATATGCCTACAGCCCCTCAGCAGATGGTTTTATCTGCAAATTTAATAAGGATATTCGTATTTCCTTATCCAAGTTCTTATGAAAACATTGCACAAGTACCATATCCAGCACAGATCATGGAAAAATCCCATTCAAGAGTTCTCTTTTATTTAACGAAAAGCTACTATTGTTTATTAATTAAATGCAGTAAAAATACAAATCCTAATTTTGCTGCACATACTTTTTCCCACAGCAAATTTCGTCAAGGATCTTAGAGTATTGTCATAACATATCAAAGCCCTTACCAAGCTTTTATCTACCCACAGTCCAGTTACCTATCCTCCATGGCTTTTCCCTGTCCACAAGACATGCCATAAGACATCACAGAAGGGAACAGGTAACTCTAACACTGTTCTTCAGAAATCCACATTGGCTTAATTCTTTTATCAAGCATTTAAAACTGTTTGATTGTTCGTTTCATTATTTTCCTGAAACTGAGGTCAGGCTGACTGGTCCACAATTCCTTATTTAAATATCTTCCATTTTCCATTTTAAAAGGGGGTCGTAATTGTTTGGTATTTTCCATTTTTATGGAAAAATTACTATCCATATTATCCACAAAGAACAAGAAAGAGAATAGCTATTGTTTTAAACTGCTTTAGCTAGCTCTGGAAGTACCCAAACATTACTTTCATCAAATCCCCATACCTTCTTTATCATTTGTAATTTGATTTATCTGAGTATTTTCTAACCTTTTATTTCCATGACATGTTCTGAATTCTTGTACATCCTTCCTAATCATATTCAGCATCCAATAGTTAAGCTTTTGGGGAAGATAAAAATAGCATCAAATACCTCATTTTTCTCAACATTATTATTTTTCTTCCTGTTGAATGTTAAACCAAATTGTTCCATGTCTCCCCTCTGCTAAAAGTGTACGTACAGTAACTGTATGCCAACTTCTGGTTCACAACAGCTCAAATCGTGCCTAGGTCCTTCTGACTTTATCTCTACATTTGTGTTGTTTTTTGCTTGTTCTCAGTGGACTTCCATCTCATTTTTTAGGTCAAATGGATGTTCTGAAGTTAGACACATTGGTCTGCTAGTACCGTCCTGGCTATTCACTCAGGTGCCATTTAACATTTATTAGAAAATGAAAGTAAAATGAGTTTGCCTGACTCCTAGAAACATTGACACTTCTCTGCCATGATGATGGGTTGAACACATCTCTCATGCTCTGGGAACTGAAGGGCAAAACCACTCTATAGCAAATAAACTAGACAGGTCCTTCCTTTTATTATAGAATCAAATGCTGAGTTGGAAGGGACACACCAGGTTCAATGAGTCCAACTTCTGGTCCTGTGCAGGACACCCCAAGAGTCACACCATGAGCCCAAGCGCATTGTCCAAACGCTTCCTGAACTCTGTCAGGCTTGGTGCTGTGGGCACTTCTTTGGGGAATCTGTTCCAATACTGACAACCCTCTGGGTGAAAAACCTTTTCCTGGTATTGAACCTGAATCTTCCCTAACTCAGCCTCCTAACATTTCCTTGAGTCCTGTCACTGGGCATGAGAGTCAAGAGATCAGAGCCTACTCCTGCTGTTCCCCTCATGAGGATGCTGAAGACCACAATGAGATCTTCCCTCAGTCTCCTCAAGTGACCTCAGTCACTCCTCATGCAGCTTCCTCTCCAGGCATTCACCATCCTCACTGCTCTGCTTTGGACACTCTCTAGTTTAATGTTTTTTACATTCTGGTGCCCAAAACTGCATACAGGACTCAAGGTGAGTGCTTCTAACCTTAGAATTTTCTGATCCTTGCCACACAGACTGATGAGATCCCTCTTTGGGAAAGTACGTAACAAAAGCCTAGGAGAACTACTTCTGAAAAGCAAACTACCACACCATTATATGTGAAAATTATATAATAATAAACCCAGCAGAGTCCAGCAAGTGCAGCAAGCAGCAGTGCTGACCCCACAGACTGCAGCACTTCCCATTGCCCACAAGAACTGCTGGGTAAGTTCCTTCGTTCCCATGGGGGATTCCTGCCATCCTTCCCCTTTGTCTCCCAACAGCATGGTCACCTGCAAAGGCCGTCATCTTGAGGGGGAGGCTCTGACGCCATTTTCCCTTTGGCTCCATGTGTACCATGGCCTGTGGTGGGTGCCATCTTGGAAAGGGGGATTTCCACCATTTTGGGTTTCAGACTGTTCTCCGGGAGTTTGTGAGATTTAGCAATTTTGTATATAGTGATTATTTACTGTTGGTTTTTGCTTGTTGTAGTTTCACTTGTTAGTAAACTTATTTTTTCACATATAGCTACTTATATTCATTCTTTATTGGTGGTAAGGGACTGGTTAAAACAAAGGGGGAGAACCCATTCTAGAACGTTCCCCTTTAAACTGCCTAAACCCAAGACAGAATGCAAGATAGCATCTTGTACCTTTCCTTCACCTCTTCCTCTTCCTGTTTCCTCCTACGCTCCTCCTCTTCTTGCCATTGTCTTTCCTCTTCCTCTCTTCTGATCTGCTCTTCCTCCTCCTGCCTCCTTCTCTCCTCGGCTTCCTGCCGGCGCCGCAGCTCCTGCTGCAGCAGGTGCTGGTAGAGGCTGCGAGCCAGGCGGCCACGCCAGTGCTTCTGCAGCGTCACCGCAGAGGCCTTCAGGCGCTGCAGGCTCTTCTTCCAGAAGTACGCTCGGTAGTTCTTTTGGATTATCACAACACTGGATAGCACCTTCTGATACTTCTTCCTGGAAACAGAACCACACACTTAATGCATCGCCAAGCCATATGTGCTCTGCACTCCTCATGCCCTTGCACACTGACCACATCCACAGGAAAGTCCTTTTCGAAAAACACAGGTCAGAAGTGACATGATTTCTGTTCCTCTCCTGCCACTCACTACCTGTAAATCATATTCACCTCACTGTTCTCTCTCCTAATCTACCAATAGTTTGTTTCAATGGGCACCTACTTTTGTGAAGACTCTCAGACGATGAGAGGACCTTCCCTTTCCATTTGGCCATGGAAAGGGAAGGTCCTCTGACTCAAAGTCTCCTTGCATTGCACATAAACACATTCACTGTGCAGTGGGCATAATCACTCAGTATGGATTTATTATAATAGAAACATACAAATGCCCTTACTATATGAGAACAAATATTGGTCCATCTCTTAAGTGGTCAAAAGCAAATCACTCCAGGAAAGGCAAAAACAGTGCAGAAATAGATTTGGTGGCGTTAATTTCACATTGTCTGGGAGAAAACACAATGACACTACAATATTGATGGCTGAATCAAACATTGTAACAAGTTCACATAAACAAATACTTCTATTGCACAACATTTTGCCTAAACAAGAATCACAGAGTATCTTGAGTTGCAAGGAACCCACAAGGATCATCAATGACTTCAAAATAAACTTTACAGCACTTTAAGAACATGATAAGGCCCCAAAACACAACAATCATCATTCAGTATTTCTGTAGTATAGTAATGTTGTAGAAAAGCCAGGTTTTGCCTCTGCATTAAAGACTACCTTTATCAAGAACATGAAAAAAGTTCCTGGTAGAAGTTTGTACATGATACATAAACTGGGCAAATAACAGAAGTTAGCATTACACAGTAATGTGGATCAATTTGTAAACTAGATTCAAGCAAACATTAAACAATCCAAAAGAGCCAATCATAAGGTTTTGTATTGAAGAATCAAAGGCCAAACACAACTGATGTGGGACTATGTTGAGAAGCAGCAAGTCAAAACTGGATTTTTGGGCTCCAGATCATCACACAAACTCCCACCACAATACTATAGAAAAAAATACTACTGGGATTCTTATTCTTGTAAGCAGAAATATTGTTGTATAGAATACTGCTTTTATTCTGTGCTCTGTGCTAGCACCCCCATTTCAAGAACAATGTTAGACCCTCAGGTGATTTCTGAGGAAGCAGGACTGGAACCAGAAATTCAGGTGTACAGAATGAGAGCAATTGCTCCATGCAGAACCTTGAGAAATAGAAAAGCCTAAGGAAAGGCTTTACCCCAGTTAAAGTATCCACATTTTATTTTTCCAACAGGGGCCATAAGATTTAACCAACCAGAAATCTATTAAGGCTGAAAATAAGCAGACTTTTTTTAAAGTAATTTAATATATTTGGATGCCTTAGTATCTTGCACTGGGGAAACAACCATTGGTACTAGTCAAATCAAAAACTTTTTTAATCCAAACAAAACGTGCAGAGAGAAATTCTCTGGGGCTGTTGCACAGGATCTTGGGCCAGAAGGCTACAGTAATCCTTGAGGTCTTACAGTCCTAGAAAGCACATTGGAAATAGCATGGTATTCTCACATAAACTTCCCACAGATCTTCTGCAACACCCTGAGGAAAAGACACACCTTAAAATCCCTCTCCTGGCAAGGAAATTCCCTTCAAATGGCAATAGGGACCTGTGCTGACAGCTTGCCGCCTCCCTGCACATGAGATCCATCAGCCCAGTCAAGAAAATCAGGAGAGGGATGCTAATAGATGTAGCGTGCAGAGGTCATGCTCTTTTCCATATGTATTAAGTCAGAAGGAGGAAGCACAGAGAAAAGAAAAGGAAAAGCAAGAGGTGATAAGCAGTAGGAGGTTTTATGTTAATTACTCCTGGACTGCAGTCCCCTCATCCCCACTCCTTCTGTCCACCCTGTGCCCTGCACATGGGGTGTGAACAGCTGCACATGCACTCTCTGCCAAGGCAGACTAAGAGCATCAAAAAGGGTACTCTGACTTTTACAAAATGCATCTGCCAGAAACTCTCTCAAGTGCAACATGTGCCAAGCCCTGCCCAGCTCCAGGCCAGCTCTGCCTGCTAATCTGCCAGGCTGAAGTGCCCCCTCATTCCTCATGACCACAGCCAAGCTTGCAGATGCCCTTCAGCTGGAATTGCTGCTGCAGGCTGCAAATCTCATTCCCCTCGTTCCAGCTTCCACTCACCCCTCTGCACTGGCCAAAGAAGTTCAACCTGCAGACCAAGCAAAGGGGCTGGGAGACCCAAACATGCAGCACACCAGAGAAGGCAGGCTGGCTGCAAGACTCCAATGCTGTATTTGAAATTTACTTAATTATTCTCTCAATGAGCTGTAGTTAGCAGTTATGCCTCCAAGGAGTAGAGATCACAGGGCTATGGAGCAATTTGCTACTGTCTTCTTCCCATGAAGAACAGTCCTGAAGAAACCAGGGGCACAGCCAATTTCATACATGGATCCTGTACTATGTGGTTTTTAGCTGGTGAAGCTGTTACCTGCATCTCAGAGCTCCACAGATTAGCTACATAAGAATGGGATCATTTCAATGGGCTTGATTTTCTTGTCTCACATTTTAGTGATCAGAGACACTAGGCGGCATAGGCTGCAGGGAATGAGAGCGAAGAAAATCTGGTTCTCCAGGCTCACAGAACAAGTTCACAAAGGGGGAGAAACCAGTAAAATCCCTCCTTTTCCAGTCTACTTTGCATGAGACCAAATAAATTTAAATACACTTATACTTGCAAAACTAACAGAAATGGTATCAAGCTTAAGGCAGCACATACTGGTATTCCTGCCCAACTCTGCACAGACCATTCAGCACTTGCCCAGATGAACTCCTGCCTGCTGACTTTTTTCAATCCAGGTGCAGTGCAACTGGAAACTCTCTTCACAGAAAGTTTTACAGACCCCCTTTCCAGCTCTTCTTTACTCTCCTCCCCTGTGAAGTCCAGTTACCTCCAGCTGCTTGTGAAGATTTACACTCTGGCTGCAGAAGCACAGCTTGTCCTTAAGGATGAGACTCATAACAGCAACATGTGGGATGAGGAATTCAGAAGTGTGGAGGCTGAAGGACCACAAGATTTCTAACCAAGAGGAACACTGCTGCCACACAGTCTCCGTAAGAGCCCTGCAGGACAGCTTCTTCATCAGGATCTCAGAAAAGCAATAATCCAGTAGGCCTGCAGTGGTGTTTCCAGCAAATCAATTTTCCTGTGCTAATCCCTACCCCTCTCTCCAAATGCTAGACAAAAAGTAAAAGAGAGAAGAGGCCCTGACATAAAGAACTTGCAATCTCATGTACAAACAATAGAGCGAGCTCATTTGTCTTCCTAGAGGGAAATAAATAAATGAATAAAAAACCCCAGAGACCAAATGTGTATTTTGCTGATATTCCACACTGGCAAGGCAAGGTACAACCCTTGCACACGTTTCCCAATGAAAAATGAGCTACCTGGTGTAACTGGAGCTCTAAGAAGAGTGCCTGCTGAAACAGTTCTGCTGGCCAGGGATTTCACCTCCTCACAACCCTGACTGACAGGTGTCTGGAGCAAAGACCAGCCAGGAAAGAGCATCTTACTGGGATTAAGTGTGCATACCACAGCCATTAAGGAGTCAGCTGTTGCACTGACTTCGAGGGCAGAGGAGGGGCCGTTTGTCTGCAGTTGGTTCTCCCAAACCTTCACTGGTCAGGTGCAAAAGGGAGAGGCAAGAGGAGATTTCTGTTGCAGAGCTGGCCAAAAACCAATTCTGAACAGTTAATTAAAAGGAGAGGGAGCTCACAAGGCAAACAGGCAGGGCGAGGAAGGAGGGTGAGCAAAGGCAGAACTGCAAGTGAGGAAGAAGCAATTGGCAGGGGGAGCAGAAAACAGAGTAGACAGGCACAAGGGAAAGGAGGGGACCCAAAGCGTAGGTGGGGCCCAGCCAGGAGAGCCCTGAAGGCAAGGAAAAGGTGTCATCACAGGCAAGCAATGGGTACAAAAGTCCACGGGAAGCCTGCTGAGCAGCGCTGAGGGAAGGTGCAAACGTGCACATGACTGAAAAAGAGGTGCCAAAGGTGCAGGAAGGTTTCAGCAGAGCTGATGCTGGCAGGGAGGGCAGATTCTGCAACTCTCCCTTAGAATACAGGAGGGGAAGACGGGACGGATGCTAGGGGACGAGAGAGCAAAGCAGGGTGTCGGGGCAACCCAGGCACGCAAGCACAGGGATGGTGGGGCAGCCCCCAGCACTGACCTTGCCATGTAGCCCAAGACGTGGGCCCGGATGACTATAGCTGCTTTCCTCAACTCCTCTTCCCGATCCTTCTCCAGCTTCTGCTCAAGAGCTTCCTTCAGGAAAACCTGACGCCACGGGGAGGAGTTTCAGTAAACACAAAGAGAGGAAAGAAGTCAGTCCCCGGGAGAGCCGGGCGGTTTCATCCCCGGGTGAGCGGCGCGGAGAGCGCTCCGTGCCCGGGCGGCCGCGCCGCCGCCGCCCCCGCGCTGCCCCGGGCGCCCGCACTCGGAGCGCCGGGAAAAGTTGTGCAGCGGCGGGAGCCAAACTCCGAGCCCAACCCCCGCCGCCCTCACTCTGTGGTCAAGACTTAAAAGAGAGAGGGAGGGAGCAGAGGAAGGAGGGAAAGAGGAGGGAGGAGGAGAGCCCAAGTTTGCGCCTGTGATTAACTCTTTCCCAGCTGACAGCTCGCCCGGCGCAAGCCGGTACCTCCCTGCAGCAGGCACTGGGACCTGCGGGGGTGATTAAATATTTTGCGAAGAAACTCCTCCGCGTTTCAAGGAAAGGGAGGAACTTTAAGATTTCTAGGCTCCAGGAAGTAACCTTTACAGGAATCTTAATGGAAGGCAGGCGGAAAGCCAAAAGCCCAGTCGAGGCACAAAGCTGCGCTTACTCTCAAGCCCACCGGTGCTGAAGCCCTCCACAGACCTCCAGACACTCTGGGCTGAGACGCTCCCGTGCTGAAGAGGTTCCACAGTGGAGCATGCACTAGGGGCAACTGAGCTCTGACCACAGAACTCTCCAAGTATTACTGGTTGCACGCCAGTGTCCAGTATTTTAATTCTCAAGCATCTTTCACCGCCTGTATTCACAACTTCTGCTCGGCGCTAAATGCTTGTGAAGAATGCAGGTGCTACGTTAAAGACAAAAGAACTGAGATACGAGCAAGATAAGGCCATGTTTACAGGAATTGTGCTGACATGTCTAAGCAATATTAAATCAGCTGGCTTGCATTAGGTTAGCACAGGATTCAGCAGAAATTCCTGAAATAAATGTGCCGCTTTTTAGATGGATTGCAGCCTGCAGGGAGCTCCACGGTGCTGTGGGTACACTGCTAGCAATACCCAGACTAGAATAAGCTGGTGAGACATGTCCATACAAGCTGCAGTCACAGCAGCAAGTGCCATATGGCCATGCTTGTGTGACCTGCTGCCTGGCATTGGATAAATCCCTGCCAGGGCCAGCAGCAGAAGAGGCTACCCTAGGGAAGTGTAGCCCCACTTGTTAAAGCACTGGCATGGACACAGGATGTGAGCTGACATTCATCAATCTGCAGAATTGAAAACCACATTAATCAGTAGGAACTCCTTACAAATGTAGTGGGTTCATGTGGTTGTGATGAGAGGCCAAAGATTTGAACAGCCATTTAGTCCAGTGCCCTGCATCAGTTCCCCTCTTTTCCACTTACCTCCCCTCTATGTCCCTCTATACCTTCCCCTCCATCACTGCTTTTGGCCGCATCCCTTAAGGCTCTTCCTTCCCCCTGCAATTACCATTGTGTACTGAGGTGTACTGACACCCCTCCCTGAGTTAGTACCCATAGCCAGTGGCTTTCCTGCACTTGAATTTCTCCTGGGGAGCAGCTTCCATTAAGAAATGAGCTGTTTTGTAATGACTAAATAACCATGGGTAGCCTGAAAAGAAGCTTCATTATCAAGGTACTGCCAACCATGAAGCTGGCATCCTTCCCTGCAAGTTGTACATCCACTCCCTCTGTCAACTCAACAATCTTTTAAAGATTTCTTTGAGGCAGGGATTGCTCTTTCCATTACAATCCAGAACCAAGCAGCAGTCACCCATTTCAAGAATGCAACCAGCAAAACACTGTCTCGGTCCATTATCTTCATCAAATTGCAAAAACATTCAGGCCATCAGTATTTCCCTAGCAAGCACAGTCTTTGCTGAGCCAGGCCAGTTTGGGGTAGGGGAGGAACTTCAGGGCATACAGAGATCCAGGAGACCCAACCCTAATCCTATAGGATTACAGGATCTATATATGCTGGAGTGAGGGGTTAATCTAAAAAAAAAAAAAGAACAGCAATATCTAGTTATAAACTTTTGGTATTTTGAAGGTTTGGAGGTTTTTTAGACTCCACTAGCTGACAAGGAAGAATAACATGCATTTCAAGTCCAGAAGTTTTTTTGATGCCTTGCGGAAATAAACTAGAAAGTGGCTGTTTCTTTGTCATTATTCTAGTCATTTTCTGAAAACATGGGACTGTTTTCATCTGAGAAAAGAATGGCTAAACAAAACATACAAGGTTATATCTATCACATTCTGCTGATACTAGACACTGGCCAGGTTTTAAACCACAGTGCATCACCACAGTGTTCCTCACATACCTTCAAAGTCTGCATGCACCATCAGTGGGACAGTGAACATGTTAAGGTGTCACAGAGATCAGCAGACACAAGTGTAACAGCTTGGGTACCCATGTGTACATAAGTGGGATCATATGATTCTTGGGGACAACACTGGGAAAGCAGGAAGTGGGTCACTGTGACCTGGATGCCAAACAGTGTACAGCAACCTCCTCCTTCAAACAGGCCCTGCAAACCAGCAGGTTGAAATGTGGAAATTTATGCCTTCAAACAGCAAAGGTTACTGTGTTAAACCACTGTAGAAATCTGTGTTGTGGGTATGGCAAGTATGGCAGAAGGCCCAGGTGCACTGAAGGAAGGGTCCCATGGAAGCTGCTTGCCCATCCCAGCGCATCCCCAGTGAAGGCAAAGGCACCTTAGCACAATCTCTTTCATCATCACACTGCTTGTTTGCATCCAAACACTCAACTCTGCCATACCACCATATAAAACCTGTATTGCATACATTAATACCTCTTATAAACATTAATTTGACAATTGACAGCACAGCAGCTGCTCTATTCTTAATGAAAAACACAAAGATCATCCTGCCCTTCCTCCTCCATTTCCTTTCCCAAGCTTCACAATCCCCTGCACTAATTCACAGAGTCCTTTCCTTCCTCCTTCAAACAATTGCTAGGGATATAATTATCCTTCCATTCATTTTGCAGGAAGTATTCCCCCTTCTATAAGCCTTGCTCTTCGCCCACCCCTTATACTTCTTCCTAGGTTACATCCCCATGGGCTTGTCACACCTTTTTCAGTAGCTACTCCTGACTAAGCCAAGATTGTTTCTGGGAATACCAATCTGAGTACCCAGAGCTGCACCTGTAGCAGCAAAAGTGGCAGTAAGGCCATGCAGGGGACTTCCTTTTCAGGACAATGACCTATGCTCCGTTCCCCTTAGCTGGTAGCTTCACCTTTACCTGAAAGACTCTGGAAAAATAAGGTTAATTTCTCCATCAACCCAAGTATTCCAGGCCTATGTTACCTAGCACCAGCTGAAACATGAATGCCGACAAAGCAGTCTGTAATCCAAGGCACAGCAGCTGGATCCAGACAGCAGGGAAGGTCCTACCAGGAAGCACCACTGCTCTGCAAGGCCTCACCTTGGCAGCTGCTTTCCTAGGGACAGGCTTTCTGGAGGCACTGTCACAAAGCTGAGTTGCAAGGTGGTCTCCAAGGGAGGAATTAAATGGCTTTGCATGGGAAAGAATGCCAAGCAACTCATCTGAAGAATGTAATGGCAGGGTAGTACACCTTGGAATGACAGTACCTTGGAGCAGCCAGGGGCTGGCCAGCCATTCAGCATGGCAGCAAGTGTGGAACATGCCAGGACAGCCTTGGAATGATCCATTCTTTCAATAGACAGAACTTCTCCCCTATACCAGGACACACATCTCTAATACAAACCATGTCCAATAGAAAGTAACTTCTACAGCCAAACAAGATGGCTCAACTGCTTCCCAGCTCCAGGAAATTTTGCTCCTCAGGCATCACGAATACAAAGATTGCTTCTCTTAATCATTTTTTTCTTTCCACAATATCAAGACTCACAGCAGCCAGCGCCCAAGCAGAGAGATTGCAGTGTACCAACATATAGCTCTTCAGTCAAGTTTTAGTTTACAGAACACAATAATTAAAAAATAAATACATTGAACTATATCCAGAGTTTTGACAAAACACACACACATTTTCTTTGCCACAATTACCACCCATATTGTCTTTTTCCAAATAATTTGTGCAGGTCAAGGAGTGAGTGTAAACAAGCAGATGGACTCAGTCCTTCATGATGCACAATGGGGACTGAAGAGAAAAGGGACCTATAGCTTCCAGGGGCTCAAAGCATCCTGGATTTCCTGCTTGTTGTTAGTCTGCTGTAAGCTTTGGACTCCAGCTGTATAGCTTATAACCTTTTGTACTCTAAAAGGTGAGTTGTGTGCCTGTGAGTTTGGTCCTCCATCCTGCCACCCTTATTGTAGCGCAGCAATCTTCCACCTCTTGTCATGCTGGAAGAAAGTTCAAACTCTGTGTTTACCAGCTCTAACCACCATTTTCTAAGTTTTCCAGACAGCTCTGCAACACACAGTCTCCTCATAGGCTTCAACACTGAAATGCTGGGAGACTGGCAGTCACCCAAGCAACGTGGATTATCCAGGGACAGGAATCACCAAAATGCTTCCTGGTTTGCGAGCACCAGTGAGGAGACTCCTGATTCCAAAATCAAAACTTTAACCACAGACCAGAAATACAGCTAAGTGATAAAATCTTCTTTCTGGAGCATCAGTGGAGGCATGGGGGAACAAAAAAAACCAAAACAACTAAACTCCAGATTAGTACATGTCCTTCCCACAGCAATGGCCAATGGTTTCCTTGATTGCCACATAGAGCTCATAGCCCAGACTCTTAAGTGGACTACCACCAGTCCTCTAGGAAGAGGAGAGAGATCTTGCTTTAATAAATATTATAGTCTATCCACTTACTGAGAAATAATTGCTCAAAGCAACAAATGTCATCATCTGATCTCCTGGACAAATTAAATGTGCATGTTCACTAGAATCACTGAATCACTTCTGGTTTCATTGTGACACTGGAAATATTCTGAAGTACTTTTCTAAAGGCTTAAGGGCAAAAAAAAATGCAAGAAGTTGCTTTGATGTGCTACCATCTGCTCTAGATATGAACTGCATCCCCACTATTGAGAAATGCTGCCTGCATTGGACACCATCCATCTTGGAATATTCTTTGAAAAATTTACTGGAGTATGTGGAAAGTTGTGATAGAGACAGCTTCACACTCCCAGATTTCTATAGCAATATACCTCAAAATGCTCACATCTATTTCTGCATGAAAATCCAGACTATTCCAGGCAAGAGAGAAGTGTTAAACATTCACCAAAACAGAAGCAAGATCTGAATTACGCAAATGGGCAGAAGCATTTAGATGCCTCTTCACAGAAAATGTATGCTAGCATCAGGGCTAGATGCAAAAGCATCATCTGAGCTTCCCCAACAGAAAGCTGTCATACATCTGGTGATGTAGCTATTCACAGCTTAGATATACACCAAGATTCAGCTCATTGCCTCGGGCAAGAATTTCAGTTAGTCAAGCAGAGTGAAATACCTGGCACAAGAGGCAAGAGTTAACGGCACAGATCACAATTACATAAATGAGAGCCATGCTTGTTCCCCTTGAATCTTTAAATTGGATCAGACACAACAAAATCAAGCTGGCTTGGTCAATTAGGAGTTTAGATAAAATCAAAAAAACTGCTATGTCTCTAGGTACATAATATGGGAAATATTTGAGATGCTGCAGGTCAGTGGCACAGGCCAGTGGACTGAAAGGATCATGACTGCAATGCCTTGCAATCTGACCAGATGCAATCATGTCCCCTTGCAGCCGGAGCAAAGCCGTACTCTTCCCCACACCGATGCAGTACCTTGGTTTTACCCAACTGCCATTCCTTCTTGCTGCTGTCATAGGTCTGAAGAAAACCTGCACATACAGCTTTGCTGTTGTCTGAGAGGCTTGGCCCCTTCACAAGCATCTTGTACCTAAGGACAAAACAGAATCTCATCAGATTACAGATGACAGTAACTGCCCCCTTTCCTCTCTCTTCCCAATCTTTTAACTCCAATTATCCTCCTCTCATTAGTCCTTTTTCCTCTGGGACCCTCTTTCTTCATGTTTGCCTTCCAATTTGGAAATTTCCATCCCCCAACCTTTATCTGTTTCTACCACACTGGCAATTATTGTTGCAATCCCAGTAAAAGAATACAAACTCAACAGAATTTTTCAGTAAAGAACAACTGTCTTTTTGAAACATGTGCTTTCATCAGACACAAGATATTTTGTTCAGTGTTGGGGTGGCATTTAGTGCTCCAAGAGACAAAGGAAGCAATGTTCAGTGTCCCTTCTAGCCTTAAACTTCAAAAAAATCCTTTTGATGTAGCTCATTAAAAGAAATAATCACTTCTTCCAATATTAATCATCAACTATATTGTCCATTAAAATTTTCTTCAGCTGCCTAAAGGTTTTAAGCATGGTATTTTCCTTTTACATCTTATGACCAGCTGGGTTTCACAGCATCACACTAGCAAATCTGTGGCAAAGCTACCAAGGAAAAAAAAAAGACAAAGAAAAAAAGACCAAAGACCATCTGGCTATTTTTCCATTCTGACTTATAGCCTAAAGGCAAGTCTCCAAAAGACCTCCCAGATCAGTCGATGATATGAGCATTAAGGCCATGGTTAGAAAAACATCCCACAGATGATCCATACCAGAAGAAGCAGTCAAAGAGGGAGCAGTCACGTAGAATTTTATACTTTGGGGCTGTTGCAGCATACAATCCAGTGGCAGCAATTACCTGCTGAGGAAGTCCTGGAACAGGCGCCGTACAGGGAAACCCGCTCTCCGAACCTTCACTGTCTCCAGCATCCCTGAGTAGCGGAGCTGATTCAGCACCACGTCTGGATTAAAGAGGTTCGGCGCCTAAACAGGGATCCAGAATCAAAACCAAGTAAGTGAGGCAGTCACTGGCTGTGTATCTGTTCTGGTGTAAAAAGCCAACCCTGCATATTTGGGCATGCCAAGTAAAAAGGGGGAAGTTTGGGTCAAGGGGAAAGCAACCTCACAGCACTGCACAGTGCAGAATAAGGGACAAAAGGGAATTGGGCTGATTCTGGAGGAAGGAAAAGAGTTTGCAGACTGCACTCACGGTCAGACTATGGTAGGAAAGCAAAGATACAATGTCTGAACACATTCAGAGTGTAGACCCTGACTCAGTTCTCTTTGTAGTCTCTCTTTTCAATTAAACTGGAGACAAACTACAGAATTCTTTTCTGGCATAAATCCCCTAAACAGCCTATCCTCTGACATATCATTCATGGTTTCAAAACACACAAAGAAAAGGATCAGTTCAGATCTAGTTAGCAGTATGTCCTCCTGCCACAGCTCACAGTCCAAGCAAGAGCCAGCCTGTCCCTAAGCACTGTGACTTGCTCATGATGCATCCACCTCCACTGCCTCAGTGCCAGGGATCTGCAGGAGACAGTGCCTACTGCACAAGCCCTTCATTCCAGAACAGATTTCTCTACAGGCACTATAAACAGGAGTGATTGCTTCTTCTAGCACAGCTCTGAACTCTGCACAAGCCTGCTTAATCCTCCAGGCTTCATAAGAACTGAAAGAGGTGGGAATGGCTATATAATCTCATATTCAGAATGCAGTCTTTCCATCAAATTACCAGAATGAGGGTGTGTTTTTTCTCAACTGTAAAATAACTAGAATAAAAAAGGGAAGGTGGGAGGAACTGCTCTTACCCTCAGTTTGAGGCACCTGCTAGGCATTTGTGCAAGGGCATGCCCATGCAGGCCTGTGTCACATGCACACATATGGCTGGGGGACACACTTACCTTTTCTGTATTTGGTTTGATGCAGCGGATGAAAAATGGGTTGGAAGTACTGAGCGTGGCCATCAGGGAATGGAGAGAATCCTAAAGACCAGCAGGAGAGACCCAAAGGATCAGTCACTACAGAAGGGAAAGGGGCTACATTTGATGCAGTAAGATCTTCATGCAGCCCTCCCATTCCTAATGTCCTCCTTTGACTCTGCCTACCAAAATTTCATTAACCCACGAGATTCCTTCCTGTCCAAAACATACCCACACAGTCTGCTCTTAAGACTATTTATATGGCCATCCTTGTTCTTGGAGCTGTATAGCTTTTGTGAGTTAGTTTTACAAGTCTCTCAAACTTTAAATATAGGAAAAAAACCCAGTGAAATGAACAGGTCTGCAGATAATCCAAGTGTGTGAGATTCATACTTGCAAGGTCCTCCTAATGAGGTTTTATTGGAATTATCACTATACCTGCAAAAATGTGGCCTAAAAGGACACATACACTTAGCTGAAACACCAAACCAATATGAAAGATCAAAGAACCTCAAGAACTTCATATACTTAGCAAAGTACTCTTCTCCTCTGTCACTCTGCTCCATCTTATCATCTCACATTTTATACCAGACAGAAATCCTTGGGACAGTGGCACTGTCTTTTTTTAGCACTGCAACATTCCTGCACATTTTCAGTGCTGGACACAAAACAAGGATGAATGACTCCTCTTGGCTGCAGGCCTTGCTTTACCCATCTGCTGCTCCCCAGAAGCCTGCTGCTCTCTTGGAAAACATCATACCCTGAACTGGGAACTGACAGTCGGTCTGCGCCTCTGGGTGCCCATCTTCAGTGTCTCTTCACTGCAACGACTGCAGACTCTTTCAAAAAGGTCATAGATGAAGTCCAGCCTAAGGGAGAAGAAAAGAATTAAAGAAGATGCAAGACACCTACCACCTGTGAGAAGATGGTTCTTATTGTCAGCTACTGCCCTGTCCTGTTGTGAAACATCTCATTTTTACACCTGCTGTGCCAGAGGAAGCAGTTCAGCTGGCACTTCAGTAAGGAAATTAATACTTCCCATGTGGCTGCCCAGATCCCGTGGGCTGCCTTATATGCCACATTCAGATGCAAAGCCAGAAGTTCCCTCCCACACTTTCAAGTTGGATATTACACAAAGGAAAATCTCCCTTCTGCACTGGCTGGGACACCTCCCTTGAGCAAGGAGGGGATCTCAAGGACACCTCCCTTGAGCAAGCATATGCCCCCAGGCAAAGCTGCCTTGAAGGTATGCCAGCTGGACTGATGCTGTCATGCCTCCCAAATCATGATCAGCCCTCATGATACGATCATGAAATTGGAAGCCCAGCTCTTCTGCAGCCAGAGGAGTTCTAGAGCTGCCCTCCATGTAGCTAGCCCTCCAGTTCTAGGGAATCTTCCACCATTTTGCCACTCCTGAGACATTGGCGCTGGTTCTTACAAAGTTGCCCAAAGTTCTTCAGAGCTGCTTGTGCCAGTTTATTGTTATGGCTGCTTCTGGCCCAGCTTCCCTTCTGGCACGTTGAAAAAGCCTGAGTCCTTCTATTATGCTGGACAATAACAACCACAATTCTGGCCTCAAGCCTCATGTAAAATGTTCCCCAGATGCTACTGGCCAAGTAAGACAACTTATGAGCAGCTCATAGTCTCAGCTCCCTCAGGTTGTTTCAAAGCTTCTCAGTGCACACTCTGCAGCAGCTTCAAAGAAGATGCAGTTCTGAAACAGTCTTATCAGGCTGGAGCCCAAAGGCAATACATGGACTGTGGTAAGAGGCACATGGTAGAGTTGCTGCTCAAAGACTTGTAGGATCCTCTGGAGTATTAAATGCCTCCCTCCTACTAGGCCCTGCTTCTGTTTCCCAGATCTTGCTCAAGATCAAAATTAGCTCATTTCTCTAAGATCATGTTGCAGCTCTGGGATATAACATTAGAGTCCATGCCCAGTCCCACAGCAACAGCTCACTCTGGCTCAGGATAAGGACAGATGATTTCCACTAACAAGTAGGCTGGAAAACAAGCAGCATCTGTACAAAAGCTGGCAACTGACAGCATGACAAAGAGCACTGACTCATTCAGGGGAAACTTTGCCATTGTAGGTATAGAGAGATAAGAGGAAGGAAAAAAAGGGAAGGAGAAAGGGAAAAAACCAAATTGCTTGGAGGGATGTCTGTCATGCTGTTAAAGCTCTTTTAAAAACTGGGAAAACATGAGTCCTGATTAAATCTGTGCCTCATCTGACTTCTCCAGCTCTGCTTTCTTCTATCAGGACACTTCAGCACAAAGAGAAGAATGATTAAGAATGATGCCTGATGCTCTGGCAAAAGCAACTGCTTTCCTTGGTCTGGTTTATTACGTGAATGCAATTAGTTCTGCCCAACAGATGTGGCCTCCTGACAAGCATACCTGCTGTCTTTCAGCATGTTTAAAATGTCATCACGAAAGGTGTCTCTGTTCTTCTCCAGAAAGCCTCTGACATCATACAGCACCTGCAACACAGACACAGCCACTAGAGCAGCACCATACAGATCATGAAGTCCTTCCACATTTACATGCCAGTGTACAAGGCCTCCAGCAGAGCTTCACAGGAACACTGCAGGCATGTGCCAAGATCTGAACTTCTGGGGTCAAAGAGCTACAGAGTTCTGCAGTTACTGGCAAGAGAGTGGCTTTTAGCCATCAATTAAAAAACACCAAAAAAACCCTAAAAAACAAGAGCCAAGTGAAACAGCTGCAAAGATTTGCCTGGCAGGAAAAGGTCTGTGTGGAAATCCTCTGCAAGGTGTGAGGTACTCTGTTCACTTCAGGAGAGTGAAGAGAACGGCCACCTAGTGCCCCAACTTCCCAACCACAAGTGCTCAGCAGATTATTCTGGGAGGAGGTTAGTCCTTCTTAATTGTGCAGGTGTCCTCCCTTGACACACCTTCATCTGCTTCATATCTCTTCACAACAAAGAGCAACATTTAACCTTGAAGGCTCGGTAACCTTTTCCTTTCTGCAATAGGTATTCAGTCTTTCCTCCTCCTGAAAAGTCAAATTTTCCTTGTGACTTTTCCTTTGAGTTTTGTTTGTTTGTGAATGTCCAAGAAAAGACGACATGAATAACAGAAGTAAGGAGTTTATCCCCCAAACAAAAAGTTACCTGAGAAACTCAAACATTCTCCAAGTTGGAGAATATAGTACTGCAGAGTGACATGCTATTTTAAGCTCATCACACTCGTTGTGCTTTGGTATGGGACATTAAATGTGTGGAAACACACAGATCAGAGATGTTCTTGGTTTTTGGAATCTAGAATTGAGGACCTCAAGTCCAGAATATACCAAGCATCTCACAAACACATCATGAACACCTACCTCCCCTGCATAATGTCTTATGCCAAACTGATGGTCTGTCACCCGAGGCTTCACATAGTAGGGGTTGCTCTGAAATGACAGAAAAAGAAGTTGTCTTATAATGCTGGTATAAGAATAGAAAGTCAGTCAGGAACTCTGCCATGACTATGACAAGGCTGGGATGGGCAAGGACCTTTGCTCTTGCAGAGCCCGACCACATCTGCTGCAGCTGGCTGCAGCTACATTGCAAATTTTACTCAAATTTAAGATGGAAATATCCAGCCCTTCAAGGCATTTCTCATGTGAGCAAGGGCTTGCAGAATCAAGGCTGCAGAGGCATGCCATGGATGAAATGTTAATTCTTGTGTGTCTGACACCTGAGGAGACTGAGCTCCACACAAACCATGTGGTGCAGGACACAGGATCAGGATGCAGGGAAGATGGCAGCTTTGCATAACACCTCCACACCTTTTCTTCATCAAAGAAAATAAAATACCGATTTCCTGTCTTCCTCTATATTTTATCTTTCCTTCCATCTCTCTTCCCCTACATTCAATATTCAGTTTTCTCTTTTTCCTCTCTCATTTTCCCCTTCCTTTTTCTGTTCTGTGAAAACCATTTTAACTGATTAAGAGCAGCCATGCTGTTCTAGACCAACAGTCTATCCAGCAGTATTCTGCCTCTAGCACTGGCTATGGAGGATAGAGTACAAAGAAAGAAAGTAAATCATACTTTCATCCTAATATTCCCTCAAACTCTAATTCTTTCTATGAGGCCTGCCTAACTAGTAAACCCAAAGGGATTTCTCTTTGAAATACTTGCTCACTCCACAAGTGAACCCATGCAGACTTCTTGTATCTGGAGTGTCCTTTCACAGGGAGGTCTCAACCAACTACATGTGGAACTAGAGCTGCTTGGATTTAAGCCTGGCTTCCATTAGTGCCATTAATCTTCTACAGGCCATGTGTGACTTTTACACCCATCACACCCACCCAAGTCACCTTGTCTCCACACTGCAGGTCCCTTCAATGCAGTTTTCTGTAGCACTGAAGCTGTACCAGACCTGCTGTTTACCAGTTCTGACAGAAGCTCTCCACGAGTGGAGGGGCCCCTTGGTGTACGTGGTTCAAAGTGAAGGTGATCTACAGACTATAGAGTTCCATGGCAATGTTTCTACTTTTACTGTTAGTTTCCTGGGAGCTTTCACTACTTCTTTTGGGGATTTTTATTACTGCTGAGCCCCTTGCTGGTATTTCTATGGAACTCCATCACAGCCTCTGTCTGGATCTCACTCCTGAAGAGCAACAGTCAGTTCAGAGGCCATCATTTCAAAGGTGAAATCAGGACTCTTTTCCTTCAGGTACAGCACTTTACATTTTTCTATTCTGCTTTTCATTTTCATTTTCACTTTACAACGCAATCAGTCTCATGAGGCCCCTCTCAGAGCAGCCTTCCCTGTGAGTCAGCAGAAATCCTCAGTGCTTGTCTCACTTGTAGGCCCTCCTGTCATTAAGGAAATTGACCTTTTACATTCTGTGAATTTACTCAATTGTGAAAACAGAACTACAGGCCTATAGTTTCCTACAGCACTTTCTAAAAATTAATATAATCCCCCACCTCCTCAGACAAAAGTACTAAGAAAATTTTAAGTAACATGTTGCATGATGCTGTTTGTAATTCAGTTCTTTCATCTCCAAGATCTTTTAGCAGTATTTAGCAGGTGGGCAGCTTCTGATGCTGATAATTTGTTAGTGCTACTGAAAATTTTTTCATGTGTTTTTCTTTTCACACTGATCCCATTTCATTGCTCTACCCTTCCCCCATACAGTCATCTTTTTCCAACCACAAAGTTCCCTGCCTCCCACTCCAAACATGACTGCTACTGGATCTCTCATGTGGATTGGCATCCTGTTCTCCTCTCCCCCTCCACCAAGCCCTTATGTTTCACCCATGCTCACAACACTTTTGGTTCCTTCTGCTATCTTCCCTATTGCTCCTCTCTCCAGTTGTTACAGAGGTCATATTCTCTTAAATCTCAGCTTTAAGCTTTTCCTCCTTAAGACTACAGCATTCCACAGAAAATACAGAGAAGAGGGCTTGTTCTCCTCAGGCTTCCCAGCAATGCTGGCTGGATGTCTTCCAATTCTCTTCCAGTCAGAACTAGAGACTTTAACTGGTATAAAAAATGCTTTTGCCTTCAGCAAATGCAAGTCCTAGAGCACTCTCCACTGTTCCTCCCTGCACTTATAACTCAGCCTCTTCCATCTCCTGCAAGCTTCCTAGGGTTCCACGTTAACTGCTATTGCCTCAAAGCAGACAGAGGTGACACTATGGACAGCTTAATGAGAAGGCTACTCAATGCACAGAAATCACCAAAAATAGCAGCCAAAATGTAGTGGGGCATAAAGGAATGCAAAATAATACTGGCAGTCTCATGCTGCTGTACAATAAACCACAGGTACCTTCTTACCAAGGGAACTGCATTCTGGTCTGATTATTTATCTCAGAAAAGAATAGAGAAAAAAATATGTAGACAAATTCAGAAATGAGCAGCAGGAAGAAAGAGGAGCTTTGAAACTTCTCCATTTGAATACAAACTAAAGAGTTTGGGACAGTTGAGAAAGAAAATTCATAACAAGTGATACATTAAAAATATTCATTAGTTCCATATTAAGAAATACCAACAACCGTTTTTTAAAAATAAGGTAAAACAGGCATTCTCACATTTCTTGACCTGCAAGACAAGGCAAAGCCACAGTGGACTAAATTGAAGGTCTTGATTTAAGCCCAAGGAAAGTATATATTTCCTCAGAGCTGTATGTAGCCAACCAAAAGTCATAGTTATTTCTTCTAACTAAGTAATGAGTATTACTAGCAGAGTTACAGTGCATATATGAAAAATGAGAATATCTGCATCTGTGCCAATTTTAAAAATTCAGATAAAGGATACAGATTTGTATGTTTTTGGGCTTGGATGAAGCCTGAATTAGATGACTAGAAAACATATTTGCTGACAATGCTCTCACTGAAGTAGTTAATTATTCCATAAGTCCATGCTACAGGCTTTAATTTGCTTTGTTTTCAGTCTATTTGCTATTTAGAACAAAGTGTTGGCTGTACCAGAGACAACACGGGATTGCTACAGTGATCTCAGTGGGGTTTCTGTGTCCCCAGGATAGCTTTCTGACCTGCATGAAAAAGTTCCACTACTGTGTCCAGAACACAAGACAGAGGATGAAAGAATTTAATTAATTAGGAACAATAAGAGAGCTTTCATTAAAAGTCATGAGGCAAAAGCCGTCCCCAGCCCCAGGAGACAGATTTGACATGCTTTGGAGCAGACTGCTGTGAGTCAGCTGGCAGGAGAAACCCACACACACTGTGCAGCCACATCCTGTGCCTGGGGTGCTGCCTCGTGTCCCGTCGCAGAGCAGCAGAACCTGACCCCATCCCCTCCTGCAGAGTCAAACCTCCTGTGCCCCCAGCCTGTGGAATGCACACTCCCTCTTCCCTGTGTGCACAGGAGCCCAGGCTCAGGTTCCTTTCCATATTACTGGTGTTCAGGGCAGCCTTATTAAACACTCGCAGGTTCGGGCCTAAGGCGTTTTAAATTTACTGCACAAAGCACATATTTTACATCAACAAAACCTTCACTTTAGGTTTTGAAATGCTGATGGGGCTAACATACTGATCATTTGCCTGCCAGGCTATTTTCTTACTTACCATATGCTGGCTGTGAAGTTTTTCCAGAAGGGTGTTGTCTGTGCCTTTGGGGAATCGACTCTCTTCATTCACCAAAGCCAGTAGACCTAGTTTCTACAGCCAAACAAGAGACAAGCTTTTACAGTCAGCAAAAGCTTTCACTACACAGCACCAAGCCAAGAACTGGAGATCTGAACAGACCACTGAGCAATAACCCTTGAGTTATACCCAGCAAAACTCAAACTGAAAGCAGAATTCTGGACAGTTAATGCATTCATCAAGCAGATCATAAGTGGAGATTGTTTATAGAAAATTCACATTAAGGTTTTACTTGAATGCTAATCCCTGTCTAAAACTATGACCCCCTTCCTAAGCTTACTCTCAACAATAAGCAGAGATCTGCTTTCTTGAGCCAGAACCATGGGTAGAACAGCTCATACATTTGCCAGGTCACTATGGGAAGAGGATCTAAGCAACTATCTGCTTCTGAAACCAGGAGATGCCAGGGAAGATCTCAAGACACTCAGGAGTCCCCACTGATCCCTAGAAAGTGTCACAGGTAACTGCTTACCTTCTCAATAAGGTCCAGGCACTCTGCATTATCCATCCAGTCAATGGCTTCCCAGTTTATCCCTTCCCTGATAGACAAGAACAAACAGAACAAAGTTGTGAAATGCAAGATCCAATGTCTTGGGGTGTAGGAGAGCAGAAGTAACTGAGCCTGGCAGCTGTCCCAGGACTCAAGGTGATTTGCAGGAATTAGGCTTTGTTATGGCTTATGGCTGAGGAAGAAGAATAAGGGACACAATGAACTGCTAACACAAGGAGATGGAAATAAGAGCCAGCCTTTCTTATCCACACCAGTGACATAGAATGATGCTTTTCTTATAGTCATTGAGCAAATTTCACATGAATTTTAAGACTGTGCTCTTTCTGGAGTGACAAGCAGCAGCCACACAGTGGTGATGATGGAGTTTGCTACACAGCTTCAAGAGTCAGCTGCTGACCCACCAATCTGGAAAGCAGGCCTGAAGCACATCTGCCAGAAGACTGAACCACAGCTCACAGGTCCACCAGGAAAAGAGACTGGAGAGAGTTTCCAGGGAGAGTTTTGAAGAGGATGACACAGATAAACTTTGGCCTGTCATGCAAGGAGCCTAGAGGGTGGCCCTGCATCTTTCAGAATCGGAGCTGATGTAGGTACAGTAGTGCAATAATGTGCTTTGAAAATCACCCATGGCATCCTGTAAATGCTGAATGGGTTTTTTGCCCTTACCATCTTCTTATACTCCCATAGTACAGGATATGCCTGTTTTCAGAATTCAGGGAAGCCTAGAATAAATCTTAAGAATACAAGGAAGACTAGAGGCTATGTGTGAAGCTACTTACTGACATTCTGATAACTCCTCCTTTCAGGTGGAAACTAACATTTTGAAGATAGTGGATCTGTTGCGTTCAATGCTTCAGCCCAGGCTTCATACTTTAATGTTCAAAGCATCAAGACGAGATACATGAATCTACTTACTAAGCCTGAGGGAGCAGAGCTTACATGGTGAAAGATGAGCTTTAAGTATATTGCCTTAGAATTATTTGATATGTAGTCAATTAAAAAACTTCACTCAAAAAAATTTTACTCCTTCCAAAGTTCAGCCACAGAACTTAAACTTCTATGCAACCATCAGGAAAAAATCATTTGTCATGATGGCACCATTTTTAATACAAGATTCCTGCAATGGTGAAACTGGCCTGAGAAGTGAGCACATAAATAGCCTTGCAATTTTGTAATCTTTAGAATTTAATGAATTGCCTATTCAACCATCTCACTTTACAAGGCTGCTCTCATTTGCCCTCACTGACCCTATTCAATTCCTTCATTCACAAACATAAAGGCTTCTGTTTCAGAGCAACAACTGAAGTATTTGACTAGCAGCCTTCTCTAGAAGCAGAAATACTCTAGAACATCACAGGTACTTCACAAAATACAATCCAATATGAAGCCCACAGAAGAGGAAAAAGCTGTGCAGAAGGTCCCAAGCTCAGGCTGATGTTAATCTTGCTAAGGAAAAGAGTCCTTTTCCCAGTATAGGAATTTCTAGGACAGAAGGAGCAGTCAGATATCTCTCCCTATCTTTAGGGAATTTCCCTTTTGTACACCAGGATTCCATCTGCATTACACCACAGCTGCAATAGATAAATCATTAGCAAAGTCAGTAACACACCCAGTGACCATGCAGTCTAATGGGTTAAAGCCCAGGAACATTCCATTCAGCTGAGAGACAGAAGGAAATCTGGAATTTCTGCACACTACAATGGAGAATGCTTTTTCCTGGAGACAAGTGACTTACGCTGGCAAAGCACATGGACAATGCTTAACAAGACACCTCCACGGCCAGGGTTCTACTAAGGTCTCTCCTGCTTCAGTGGTAGGGACTGAGCAGCACAGGAGGAATGATGTCCTCCCTCCCAGTACCCATGAAAGCAGTGGGGCCCCACTCCCACTGTGTGTCACCTGTTGTACTCCAGCTGCTCCAAGGAGAAGATGTGCTTGTTGAAATATTCCTGGAGTTTCTCATTTGCATAGTTAATGTTAAACTGCTCAAAACGATTCACCTGCAAGAAGAAACAATTATCAAATTTTACATTCTTGTTCCTGAGCTCTAAAAGAATCTATAGCAGCAAAGGGAAGGTGCCAGGCTTGGAGTAAAGGCAGAGAACATAGTGGTGTCAGGTGGGTATGAGGAGGACAGTATGGAGAGGTCCACTAGGAGAACAGCTTCTGTAGCCCATGCAAGGTTAATTCAGTAAACCTAATTCATAGTAAAGCATGTCAAAGACAATTATGTTTCTCTTCTTGGAAGAAATAAATTCCCTAACTGTTAGGTCACAGGGCTTTATCTTCTGTGAAATATCTGAGCAGTCACTCTATGACTGTTCAACATACATCCCACATCAGCTGTGGTTAGAAGCATCACATACAGGATTCTCCACACAATGCAAAACAGATGTAAACAAACAATGTACATGTAGGGTTTGGATAGTTGGTTTGCATACAAATAAAAAATTCAGTATTGTCTATCACAGCAGATCTGCTTAATGTCTGTATCACAAACCACACCTTGAACATCAGCCTGTATGAATATGGCTGGCAGAAATGGGCAGCTAAATATATCTTTCTGCTTTCAGGGGAAAGTGGCAGGGTAGAGATTCCAGAATTCCCTATGCTATCCTTACCAGGATGCAAACCCACCAAAGTTTCTTCCAATATGCGTCAACATCTCCAAAACCAACCCACCCCACAAAAAACAAAATCCTGACCTGAAAGTTCTCGAAGCCAAAGATATCCAGGATGCCCACAGACTTAAAGTTTTCCTTGCCTTTGATCTTTGTATTAATCTTGCTAATGAGCCATGAAAAACACTGGGAATAGAGTGCCATAGAGAGGGAATCCCTGGAGTCAGCTGCCTGTAAATGCAGAGAGAAAAAATGAGTCACAAAGAAAAGAGAAGACATAAGGGCCACACGAATCTCTGTGGGACTTCAGGTTCCTCCACTCCTCTTCAGGTTTCCCAGCCTCTGTACTGGCTGTGTACAGTGCAGTATTTATTAGCAACAAGTTTTCAAATAGCCAGGCCACACACAGACAAGCCATAATCTTTGGGTAACTGCATTTGAGAGGGTGAAGGAAGTAACAAAATCAGTGACATTTTTTGGAACAAGTGCTGGGACAGGGAAGGTGACAAAATACCTCACAACTAAGCCCACAGGAGTAATTTGTGTCACCTGAGCCAACATTTGCAGTGACAGGCAAGGTATCTCGGTTCAGTACTCCTAGCAGAGCTGTCAAATGGGTGTCTGCTCAGTTTTCAAAAAACTGGTAGGGCAGGATTTAATAGAATATTCTGTCACCAAGTTACCCTCAAAAATTCCCTTTCCAAAACATTCCTGCAAACAGCATTATCCTACCAGAATCCAATTAGGCTGGCCAACAGCCAGGACACATGCCCCAGAAGTTCATGGGTTGAAACTTTGCTGCAGTTGACCCAACATCCCATTCAGATACCATAACCAAGTGTTACACATGGGAAAAATAACTTAAATTGCAATCACTAACAGGCAGGAGATAATTGAGTGTATGAAAGCATGTAGATGAACATCCAAAATCAAACTTCTGGTATCTCAAGCAAAAGCCTACTACCTGATAGCTGCACAAGGGATGGGCTGGTTGCATATTTTGGTAACACTTGGACACACAAAAGAGGCACACCTTAAATCCTCCAATTAATAAAGAGACATGATACAGAACCACAAACTGGGAGTCTGATGTCATGTGCTGTCCTTCTGCACATACACTATTTAGAATGGGAAACCAGAGTTTAGGGTTCTGGAAAGACAAGAAGGCCAAAAATAAGGGTCCCTAACAAGAAGACATGATCTCAGAGGACAGCAAAAGGAGCCAGGAGAGAAGATGGCAAAGATCATGACTGGAAGAAAGATGCTGGAAGTGGGGAAAGATCCTGGAGATCAGAGACATGGAGATAAATGTTAGGGCATGCCCAAGGACCTTGGCTAGTAGTATGGAGACTGATAACTGCAACTGCACAATATAAACCCAGACAAGCTTTTGCCCAGCCCTCTTGGACAAGCTGCAAACTCCCAACTGAGAAAAGAAGTTGACATCTAGAGAGTTCCAGAGAATGTAATGCTGAGGGGCGAGCGAGCCAGTACATTAAATAATCAAGTAGGGTGAAAGCTGTAATCTTGTCATTTCATAAATAAACTGCAGTAAATAGATTGCAGGTTGTTTCCCCTGTCTCACCTGTGACATCAGCAGGGCAATTCCTTCAGTAGGCCAGACCAGCAATGACAGATCTTCCAAATGCACCCGAGCCCCCTTCAGTTTTACAACCCTAAATAACACGAGCTCTTTGCTAATGGCGCAGGCAGGCCAGCTGTTTCTGATCCCTTCCAGTCCAGTGTCTCACAAACTTCTGAGGCCCAGCCTGCCAGATCCTTCTTTTCACCCAACCACACTGGTTTTCTCCTCCTTTCTCTTCCTAGGTACTATTTCCTCTTCAGCAGCTCAAAGTTGACACAGAATAACCTCCCTTCTCCACTAAAGAGAACATTCCAAAGCATGGGTGCACACGCCTTTTCTGGCTATTTCTTCTCTCCATCAGATGATCTGCCTTATTGGTTGGGACTAAGAATGCCCTCAAGGCCATGCCTCTGTAGTGTATCTGGCTACACAGTAAGTTGGACACATTTTCCAGAAACAGGACCTCCCCATCCAGCTGTAAGCAAAGCCACTTTCCCCACAGTATGGCTCAAATGAGATTCTCAAAGGCGCCTTTCATCCTGCCAGCTTTGCCTGCCTTAGGCCAGTTCATCCCTTCAGCCCACTGAAATGTCAAAGCTCAGATGGGTAACAAGCCCATTACATAATGAGAAATCCCCAGCAAGGCTACTCTACAAGTGGGAAAAGGTGGGTGCAGCACTTAGGGCTTAGGCAGGAGCAGCCTTTACAGGCCCACTGTTGAGTGCAGCAGGCTCACAGCTAAATGGCAGCATCCACTTGCTATCACAATTTTCTTGTGGCCTTGGTACTTCACTGGGCTCCAAGCAGTAAGTGTGGGGTCCAATACACACACATGTCAGGAACAGCTATACCAGCAGGGGAAGCTCTGTTCAGGGAGACTGTCAATTCTACAACTGCATGCCATTGCTGTGGACTGCATGAAGTGCCTCTGGTATAATCTGTTATCCAACCTTACACACTGCTAGAGAAAGATGTGGCTTATTTAGAATAGACAGCTGACAAGAAAATTGTGGTGTCTGATATTGACGATATCTACCACAGACTACAGGCTGGAAAATATGTTTCACACAATTTCACTGCAAAGAAAGGTCACAGACTATGCAGAAAAAGGAGACCATTTCTTAAAGGCAAAGCTCAGTTTGTGATATATTAGCATGTGTGTCTACAGCAAGAAAATAAGCAACTACGCTACCATAATGAGCACTGCTGAGACTTCAGCTTGAACACAGTGCCCAGTTAGGGGCACTCCACTTCTTAAAAGATGTGGGAAAACAGAGACAGAAGACAAAGAGATTTAGAAAATTACTTACAAGGAAGCACTGAAGGAACTGGATTGTTTAGCTTAGAAAAGAACACCACATGAAAAACTTCACAGAAGCCAAAGCTTGTAAGGTGGACAGCTGGGATGTCAAAGGTAATCTAAATTATGAGGAAAATCTTTTCAACTCCAGACTCCACTGCAGCTAAAGCAGGATACTTAAAGATGCTGTGAAATTCCTTCCATGGGAAATCTGAAGGAAAGTTAGACAGACATCCATCAGAGAGAGTCTAGTAACTCTGGCTTCTCTGCCAATGTAGGCGTTGGATTGATAACCCTCTGCAGTCTGTGCCAGCACATGATTTCCATTACAGATGTTCATTTTGCTATAACATGGTGCCTTTTCCATCCTAGTAATAGTACTCCCTGCCTTCCAGTGCCTTGCATTTTATTAATGACAGAGGATTTTCTACAGTTATCTGTGCATGGCCTAAAACACCAAGAGTGCCCTCAAGTGATCAGCAGCACCACAAGAGCTGCATGTCAATTTATGTGGTCCTCCTTTGTGGTTGTATGGATGCAGAAAGAAGCTGCTGTGGGGTAACAGCCTGACATCTGCCAGATATTTTGTGGGAATTGTGTGCCAGCTTTTACTTTCCAGTAAACACACCACAGCCTGGAAGTTCTGCAGGTTAAAGCATGCACACACGCAATTACCACAAAGCATCTGATGCACCTTCTGCATGACACAAGTATGACCAGCTCCTGGTGAGTGAAGGCGACTTAAAACCAGTATTGTGCAGGTGAACTCCCCTGTAAAGCCTGAAAAGCAGAGTCAGCACTGGGACCTGAGCTACCAATAAGGGCAAAATACCTGAGAAACAGGAGGCCCTAGGCTGGAACGGGTGACACAGAGGAAGACTCAGGGCCTGGAAATGCAGAAGTGGCAGAAGTGGAAGCATACATTAGGACACTTACCTGCTCCACAGTGAGAGGGGAGCTGATCTCTTCCCCACGCAGAATCATGGACCTCTGGGTCAGCACTTCAGAGAGCTGAAAGGCGTCCAAGCCCAGGAGGTCACTGGCAACATTCAGCACTAAAAGGAAGAGACACGTTTTTCTCCTGCATGGATCCCCATCACTCAGAGATATTTTTACAGATCAGTGAGGAAATCCCAGGGACTTCTACAAAAGAGGTGATTAAACTCCAGCACAAAACATACTCCCTCTTACTTGATTCTCTTGGGCATACCCAAAGCTGTAGGCTCACATACCCAGTCTGAGGCTCATATACCCATTACAGAGCACAGTCAGGTACTCATGTAAGTCAGCCTTCCTGCTGAAAACAGCAAGAGCAAAACCATGTGCAAGACTCAGCACCAGCAAAACACTGCCTGAGAAGATACGTTTTGTAAAAGCACAATACTGCAGTCTGAGCATGGGATTGCTAAACTTGGATGTTGAGAGGCAATTAACTTACGACTTGAAACACTTGTAATACATTTTTATTGCTTGTGTCTGTTTTGGGACTCGCTTTGCAGACCAACTGAGATTAAATAACTGTAACAGAGTGCACACTAGCAACTGCTTCAAATTATGATGGAGGAAAGGCTCTAACAGAGCACTTTTATCTCAAACTCCTTCCTAATCTATTTCTTCCATTTCTTTCAATTCAAGAGAAACTGTGAGGCTGTGGACTCTGAGAATATCGAGGAGCACAAATGGATCACAGGGCCACACACCAATTAAATCCCACTGGTACCCAGGGGCAATGCATCCTGTGGCAATGCTTCTGTAGAGTTCAACTACAGGGAAGCTGCTGGTGAGGGTACTGCAGACCAGCATAACAGAGAGAGAAAGGAATACGGAGAGAGCTTTATTGGGCACCTTATGGGGCTTTGCATGGTCTACCAAGTTGCTAAGGTCCTACTTACCTGCTTTTGTTGTAATCTGGGCCCCACCAGCTGTCATGAATTCAACATTTCCCAAATGAAGTGTGCCAGAAAGAAGCTTGAAGATGTCTCTGATTTCCTCAGTGCTGAAGTCCACCACCTTCATGGCAGTCTGTGCAAAACCAAACAGCTAATGTTAGCTGCAGGTACAGCCAGGTACACTGGAGCCGGGTCAGGTGTGTGTAAGATGTAAAACTCAGAATTACAGTCACCATGAATACAAATGAAATGGGATGGCACAGCACCTCCCTGAGCTATACATTTGTCAATGATCTTTACTGTCTCCCATTCTCTCTTACATTTACTCTATGGCCACCTAAGGCAGGTGGGCATTGTCCCCATCCTCAGGTTGCACTTTGCTGCCCTCACTGACCATCTGTCACAAGAAAGACAATGTTTGTGCCTGTGTGAGGAAATCCTACCCTGAACACTGGCAGCACAGGTTACAGATGTTACTGGATGGCTTCCACATTCTCACTTATTTTCTTCCCTGAAGGATGGATCCATATAAGATACTTAATTTACTCTGATCCACATAACCTCCTTAATTCATTCTTAGTACAGTAGATTTATGCAGCAAGATTTAAAACCAGGCTTTCAGCATTAACTGTTAGATGGTTGGAAAGAGATTATCAGATAATGAGGAAGTATGGCACATTCCCTCTTAATGCCTGCACGTGAGCCAGGGTTTTTGGAGCATAAATTGACTTTGAGAGGTAGGGCCCAGCCTTCATGCATGCACCCTGTCAGCGGGGCACTCTGGGCTTCTAGTTCCCTTCTTTCCTCCAGCATCTCTTCAGCTGAAGAATAAATGCCATATTGCCACTGAAACTTCTGCTGTGCAGGTGCCTCCCTCCTTTAAATCACACCCAACCAGGAGGTGCTGAAACCCTAAGCTGACTCTACTCATCTTGCCTATCTGGTTTCACCGACATTATTAAAGCCTTCAGGCCAACAAGTGTTATCAAATAAAACATGAATTTGCACATTCATCCTGCTAATCCCTTAACCTCTGATAAACAGGTGTCTGTTAAATCTCTGTGATATTTCAGAATAGGGGATTTGCCCAGGTGACATAACTTCACTGGAATATTTCTGGAGAACAGTACCTTCAGGCCAAACTCTTCCCTTTCCAATGGTCAGTCTGAGGTTCCCTGAATCAAGCTATCTAGGAGGCTCCCACAAGCCATTATGGAGTGGGGTTCTGCTCCCCCAAATTTTCTATCATTCTAAATTATCACTCATATTGATTGTTTTCCAAATCCCCCCACTTCTGTACACTAAAGCCACTTTTTGAGTCTCATTTTAGCTGGGTTTTGGACTTGAACACCAAATTCTGGCTTAGGGCAGATCAATTCTGCCTGCGAGATCTAGACCATGCAGCATGTTAGTCCATGAGCCTGTGCCCAAAAGTTCAGGAGGAGTTAGGACTGGACTCACCATGACCTTCCTGAACATCTCTGCATCATTCAGGTTCTCATCAGTCACACAGCCAGACTGGTTCAAGTAGTGATAAGTCTCTGGCTCACACAGGGAGAGGCTCTCTGCAACAGGAGAAAAAGAGGCAGGGGAGAAACAACAATTTATTTAGCAACCAGTCTTTTAGTTCATAGAAGAGGAGGGTGGGAGGGTGTAACAAAGCTTGCAGATGGTATGCAAAGTAATTTAGAACAGTCAAATCCCAAGCTGCAGAGTCTCAGAAGAATATCTCAATACTGAATTGACTCAAGAAAAAACCTTTTAATTCTAGCTCCAAAAGTGTACAGAAAAATAGTCTTAACTGTATGCATATGGTAATGACCTCTAAATTAGATATCATCACTTGACACAGAGTTCAGAGAGCCACAGTCAGATTCCTGAAGACATTCAGTGCTAAGCAGCAGTTAAAAACTGAGCGTAGTTCACAAAACTAAATATAAAACCAGAATTTGCTGTGCAACCACATCTTAAACACTATCTGCAGATTCGATCCCTCATTTTGAAAAGAACATAGGAGAATTAAAACATCAATGGAGAAAGGAGGCAAGGATGATCAAGAGCCAAAACCACATTACAGATGGGAGGTGAAGCAGCCTGGGACACCAGCTTGGAGAAGTAGATGGGGAAGAATAGCAAAGATCTGCTGAAGAAAAGAATCTGTTTTGTATATTATCCCTAAGCAATTGATAATAACTATGATCCCCACTATTTTCCTTTGCTTTAGATTAATCTCTGAAATGACCTAAGTAGCCATTCCTGCACGTACGCCCTAAAACTGAAATCCGACTCCCTTCTACTCTGTCAGCCCCACATCTTCCATCTGATTATCCTAACACACAGAAACCAAAAGCATAAAGAAATTCCCCAGGCCCTCAAAACCAGAGTACAACTGTAGCATGTCCCTGCCTGCCTATCTGACCTCTCCAGAAACACCATCAGTGCTCAGCAATGCCTGGGACAGACACACACAAAAGTTGTTAGGGGGATGCTGCACTACAGAGAGGATTTGTCCACAGGCTGCAGCTGCCCCTTTCTCTGTGTGCACTTTTTCAGACCCACCTCTCTTCCCCAGGTACAGAGCTATAAACCCTTAGTTCAAACACAAGACATGTTTTGTGTAGTACTCTAGTACCTTCACTACATCACTTGTCTTTGTAATTCTTCTCTCTACTATTACCTATACTGAAGATTTGTACTATAAATATATCTATCAGTCCATCCTTTGAAGTTCTGAACAGCTCCCACCAGCAACTGAATCAAGATTCTTTACCCTTCCTCTGCCTCCAGCCAGTTCCATCACCTCATCACTTTGTACATACTTTTTCCTTCAGAACAGAATGTCTGAAGTCTTTTCTTATAAGGAACTTTTGTCATCCTCAGCCTCCTTCTCTTAACTCTCCTTTCTGTTTGCCACAAAATCACTATATGACTGGCCTTCAAGAAGAAGCTATGTATCAAGTACATGAACTGTCCATGTTCTTAGACCTGCTTCACATGTTGCACTGAAAAGAGCACAAAAGACATATCCAGAAAATGAAATTACCTTTCTCCTCCCCGCTCACACCAGCTAGCAGAGCATAAAAGATGTGGTAATTCCGCTCCCCGGGGTTCTGATGTACCACCCTGTTCTGAAACAAAGAATATAAGAGTAGCCAGCAGAAAAAGATCAGACTTATGGATGCAAAGGCCAAGAGAGGACCAGGATACAGGTAAATCTCCTGGGTCAATGCACAAGAGGGGCTTTCTTGCTATTTAATGATGGTTTTGTCTAAGTAAATTCTACATCAAGATCTTTGTGGCTGTGCAACTGAGCACACACATTAACAAACTGAACTTTGTCAGTTCTGGCCCTGGTCCTCAGTGAATTCCCAACTCCAAAGTAAACTACATCCAATCAGAGATGCCTGCATTTGGAGTTGTACCCCATGTGCTTCTCTGTGGAGCCGCATTTCCAGGTACTTCTCTCTCCCTTTCTCCTCAGTTAACAGTTCTTTCTTGGAACCTCTCTGTAATGCACAGAGTTTATCAAAGATGGGAGAACAGGCTGTGATAAATACAGCCTGCATCTATCACACAGAGGCTCACAAAGAGGCTGCTCTGCCTCTTCCTCATCTGGGGCAGTTGCAGTAGTAACACAGGAGCTGATGTCTACACGCTGCAGTGCAGACAGCCTCATCCAGGAGGTGATCTGGCACTGCCACACCTTCTCTGAGGAGAGGGCTCACCCAGCACTCAGTGGAGGTGACACCTACCTTTTCCAGTAAATCTGAATAGCACGTTAAGGAAAAAACATCCAAGTGACAGAAGCACAGATTTCTTGATGATAGGCACATTGGGATGAACCCTGCAACCAGCAACAAATCATGAAATAACTGACACTTTGGAAAGCCAGTAAAGAGTGGTTCTAAACATCATCTTAGATCATCCTCTCTATTCACTGTCCAAGGAGGTATGATGTGCCAAAGAAATATTTAAAAGGGCAGGGCCAGGTAGAGCACAGATAACCTAACAAAAGATGAGCCACATTAGGGACACCCAGAAGGATTAGAGGCCACTCTTATCTGAAAGCCTGCATTGCACACAGCAAGTCTTGCATCAGTTCTCATTGCTCCTGCAGGAGACCACTATCTTAAATCTCCTGCCAGCACAAAGAGCAGAGGCCAAACAATCGCAGTCTGTCATTTACAACAGCAGTAAATTCATCTGGCTGCTACTCCACTGCCAATTGGTGTGGTTTGCAGTCAGCAGCAGCTTCGAACATACATCAGGAAATGTAGCCAGGGGCAGCTTTACCTCCCTCAGGGAGACAAAAGATGTGTCAAAGCCTTTGGGAGAGGAGTACCTGGCCATACAGGGAAGAAAGTCATCATGGCTCAACACAGTTTGACTGTGTCCAATCTTCACTGTCCTTCTTGTCCCTGGAACAGGCTCCCCACAGAAGTGGTCACATCACCAAGCTCAACAGAGTACAAGGAGCATCTGGACAGTGTTCATAAGTCCTAGGATTTCATTTTAGGTAGTCTTGAGAGGACCAGGGAGTTGGACTTAATGATCTTTATGGGTCCTTCCCAAACTGAAATATTCTGTGATTCTATGACTAGGGTTCCAAGGTCCACTGAAGATGACAGCCCAAAACAGGGACTCATAATTCTCTTCTGCACCCAAATATTGTGCAGAATATATTTATTCTTACTTTGGCCTCACCTTTCTCAATCACAAATTCATTGGCAGAGCTAAGATAAATGAACAATTTTATGTGGAGCAAACAGAATGTAATCAACCTAGGGAATCCTCCAAGGTAGAAAATTCCAGGGTTTTAAGCATCGAGTGTTGAGATTAACAAAGTGAAAAGTCAAACTATGAAGTAGTTTAGCCCCTACCTAATGCAGTACTGAGACAAAAGGTTCCCAGAGTTAGGTGCTGCAGAGCCACAAACCAAACACTTATTCCCTGTTTAAGTTGCAAATTTGCCCACAGCTGTTAATTGACTTTGAAGAACTTTGATGAGGGATTTCCTGACCTACACTGAGCTCGTCCTAGTCTTTGCTCACTCAATCCATTTCTGGTGCACTGCAGAAAAGGATACAATCAGTGACTCGGCCTCCCTGGATGTGCCCATGTTGAGAGAAGTGCAGCTGGATGAACTTGCCAAAGCGGCTGGAGTTGTTGTTATAAACTGTCTTGGCATTTCCAAAGGCCTCCAGAATAGGGCTGTAGAAACAAGGCAATGAAGATATGATTAGTGACGGGATATCATTAAAACAAAGTGTCTGCCCAGTCTTTTGACATTTGCACGCTGTGTCCTGCCACGAGAGATTTATTTGTTACAGCACCAGCCTGGACAAGCAGGAAGAGCTCAAGGGAAAGGAAGGATGGCAAGAGCAATTTAACAGGCTGATAGATAAATTTTAACCCTTTGGGACTGCAGTTAATTAAATCAGTCTCCAATCTGTATGGGCAGCTGGTGCTCACACTGTCAAGGGCATTCCCCACCAGTGTGGCTTGAGGAAATGGAAGGTGGCAAGAGCAGCCAGGTTGTGTCCTCAACACAGCACATCCCATGAATGCAAGTGTACTTTTTCAAGCATTTTCAGAGGCATCAGACATATATGGTAAACATTCTGTAGCTTTAAACCACATACTTCTATATTCATTCTACTTTTTTTCCTTCTGCCTTTGATAAACCATCTCTTAAAATTACAGGCAAACATCTTCAAATTAACAAACAGTAATAAAACAATGTGTTTGGTACTTAAATTTGATACTGGAACACACAAGCCCTTGATACCATAATCTTGCTTAGGCTGATATAAGTAAGCTACATGGTTTCCAAGTGTAGGGACTATACACACACTATAGATTTGGAAATTACATTCTCAGAGAGTATCATCATCATCCACTTCAGGTCAAAAAAAAAAAGGGCAAAAAAATCTATCACCAAACATCAGACCAGCCATAAATTGAAGAATTTTGTCTGCTGTTCACCTTCCCATGTTCAGGAAAAAACAGTTAAAATGCTTGGTACTTGCTTCGCAGAACAGTACAAGGGAAAAGCCTGAACCACTCAAATTGACACACAGAATCCAGGATTACAATATTCATTTCTGCAATTAAACCAATTCTAAAATAATCTGAAGGGTTGACAAACAAAGAATCACAGAGATGCTACAAGAACAGCCTGTATGTTTTCATGTCTAATTTTAAAACATACATAGCTTTAAACAAAAATTATTGCTGTTATTACCTTGAGAAATACTGACTTTTAGACATCTCCACAGATCTATTGTGCAGTCCCACTGGAGACTGGGGCAGATATAGGATTATTCACAAAGTTAGTAAATACAGCATAAAAAATAACCACAACTAGAGATACCCTGGAGTTTGCAGAAGGCTTCAGGCCCTGCAAGTGTTACCTAAAGGAGAGCTGTGCTTAAGGAAATAGTCAACAACATTCAGGAAAATCCAGGCAGCATTTTTCTAAAATCTCTTGAAACAATGGCTTTCAAGTAACAAGAATAGAAATGAAAATTCCTCTCTTATAACACTCTACAACCATTGAAATGCCAGTTAGAGATCAGGAAAGTTCCTTGCCCTGGAGAATCTAAACTCCAAGACCCACACCTCTGAAACAAGTATGCAAATAAGGACATTGCACAGAAATATCCACACCACTGCCACGAATCAACAAAATTAACAGGGACAGGCAGAAAAAGGGACAGCAGGGTTATGTTATATGACCACCACAGATGCAGTGAGAGTGCAGGAGCCAGCTGGCCAATCTTTGTGGCTCTAAATCGTGCTAAATTATATACGAAAAGCACAAGGAAATGTCTTTATAGTTCAGTATGGCAATGGGCTCACACACACGAGTGCAAAGTCTTTCAGGCTTAGGGGGGGAAATAAGCAGGAGGGTGTCTCAGCAGTGGCAAGGCAGAGGGTGGGGTGAGCTGGTTCAGCCAGGAATGAGGGCAGGGGCCTGGGCTGAGCAAATGGCCTGTGCCACCAGCACATCACAGCGTGGCACAGAGGCAGAAGTGCACTGCAAGGGGGAGCAGCACAGCAGGAAGGTGATGCTGGCTGCTCGCTGGGTGTGGGCAGCATGCACTCCAGCATTCAAAATAATGGGAACCAGTTTCATCAGGGCAGCAGAAAGAGAAGTATGGAGTTCAGAAATACTGCACCATACGCAGCTCAGGATTCTGACGCACAGTTGAAGATAAAAAGATTTGAAGACTTGGGGGGTGAATAGCAGGAAAGGTGGTTATGCTGTCAGCAGTGGCACCCAACATGGAGAAGGGAGCTTCAGAGTGAAGCAAGCAAGAAAAAAAAGCTAAAAGTTAACAGAATTTTTAATGAACTGATGGATATTTTCAAGAAGGAAAAGAGACAAAATCAACAGTGCCAAAGGAGTTTTGAGAGCCTGATTTGTGAGAAATACCCCAAGTTGGAAGTTCCAAAACAAGCAAATTATAGAAAGCTGATGAACACTGTGTTTGCAATGCCGTCTGAAACTGAGAAATAATACAGTGTGGTTCCTTGGTATGTGCTGGGCTGCAAGCATGAAAATCCACCATAAGTGAACCTGAGAAGGGCCAATGTCAGAGCAAGTGCAGCTGAAATTCAAACACATGAGGCAGGGTCCATAGGAGAAGCAGCAGCAGCTTCTGGGTCTGGGCCAGGCCTTCAGCTTCCTTTCTTCAGAGAAACGGTGACAAATCAGATTCTCTTGCATTCACATTGCAATAGTTCATGTAGCACTAGAGACGCACACAGAACAGGTTGTGATCTCTAACTTCACTCCGGCTCACAGCTGTGGCATCTCACAGACTCAGGGATCACCTACCCAGCACCATAAGCTCTCTGATCACTGTCAAGTTATCACTTCACTGCTAAGAGTGCTTGAGCCTTCTAAGCCGCTTGCCTTAAAGCAGATTTTGCAGATCTTAAGTCATGACTGTACTGCTCTTCAGAGCTTTTTCCAATTTGCCTCCATGCCTGCTAAGACCTGCACACCTGCAAAGGATAAATCATCCAACAACAGTCTCTGGAACACCAGGTCCAAGGGCAGCTCAAGGCTGCTCTGCTTTATAAGGACCTAAAACCCACAGTGCTCTCACAGCTGCCTCCTCTGGAGGTTTCTGCAACTATCACAGGCTCCATCTGGGACTAGTCTGCAGCCTCACCCTGACAGTACCAAACTGCAGGACTGCCAGCAAGGTCCTTCAGCCACAGGCAAGACAGTCTGGGAAATTCTAATGGAATTTGTTTAATATAATTCAGGTATTAAGGAAAACAAGGACACAAACATCAAAATAGATGTATCTTTCCTGCCTCTTCCCCAGGCTTACCTGATGTCAAACACCTACTGTCCTCCATTTCTTCGCTTCAGTTTTCTTAATTACCTCAGGTTACACTCACTCCCTCAAAATTTCCCCCAGCATTGCAGCACAGGAGCCTGGGGTCACACTGCTTCTCTCTGTCATTCTTTGCTTCCTTATTTTCTCTGCTGCTCTTTGCCTCTTACTAGTTTTCCTCAGCCACACTTTTCTTCTTCAGGTTTTGCAGATAACTTTTTCCTTTCATCTCTCTGTTCCAGTAGGTCACCTGTGGGTCATGGTCCCTCAGGGGCGTCAGGACCTCTTCTGGCATTAAGCATTTTCCCTGAAACGTGTCTCCTTTCCCTCACTGCTGCCAGCTTCTCTCTCACACACATTTGATTCAGGCACTTCCCTGCCTGCCTGATGCCTCGTCAGGGTTTAGGTGGGTGGTAGTTGTTCCTTGGTGCCAGCTCCCATGGATGATTCTCCATGAAATCACTTGCCAGGAGAGCAGGAGAGCTGCCAGGTTGCCCATGGGACTCCTGAGGGCCAGACAAACCAGCAGCCTGGAACACAGGGAGGCTGGGGGGAAGCAGGGGCTCATGGAGGAAACCAGGAGTATGACAGAGACTCCCTGCGAGGACAGCTACAGTCGAGAGCTAGAGCATTAATTCTCCAGCTTAGGAGACACATCCCACATTGCTGTTGGAAAGAAGCCTAATCCATCCATGGACAGCTGGGAGAGCAGCCAGGGTGAGGCATCCCAGCAGGATGGCAACCTTCGTGTTTCCCTGATGTGACATCATTCAGCTCTGTGATCCTCTCTAGCAGGTCTGGCTCCATCCCTGCCAGAAGGCAGAGCCACCCAGAGGCAGGGCCCCCCAAAGGCAGAGCCCCCCAAAGGCAGAGCCCCCCAAAGGCTGGGCCACCCAAAACAAGGGCTCCCCAAAGGCAGAGCCCCCCAAAGGCAGGGCTCCCCAAAGGCAGGGCCCTCCAAAGGCAGAGCCCCCCAAAGGCAGGGCTCCCCAAAGGCAGAGCCCCCCAAAGGCAGGGCTCCCCAAAGGCAGGGCCCTCCAAAGGCAGAGCCCCCCAAAGGCAGGGCTCCCCAAAGGCAGGGCTCCCCAAAGGCAGGGCAGGGCCCCCCAAAGGCAGGGCCCCCAAAAGCAGGGCCCCTCAAAGGCAGGGCTCCCCAAAGGCAGAGCCTCCCAAAGCAGGCTGACCCAGCACTCCGGGTGCCCACGAGGGTGACTGTACCTGCTCTCCAGGATGGCTTCTTCCACGTGAGTGCTCTTCTCAGACACAGGGGCCCCAAGGGAGGTCTGGCTCATGGCTGACAGGAATTTCAGGAGCAACTTGGTGCTCTCAGTCTTTCCAGCTCCACTTTCTCCACTGTTAAGAAAAAGCACACATTTCATTCACAAATCCAGGACAGACAGAGCTGATGACCATCGTACCCGCGGCACAGAGGTGATCTCTAGGAACAAACATGTGACATCTCCGCTGTGACAAGCAGGGATCAGGCAAAGGCGGGCAGGGTGGTGAGGGTACTCAGGCAGATGTCAGTGCAAATGGGAGAGCAGGAGCAAGGCGTGTGATGCAGCCATGGAGTAGCTGGCTGTCCATCTCTGACCTGATGAGAACACACTGGCTGTCATGGCGCTTCCACAAGCAGCAGTAGCACTCGTTAGCGGTGGCGAAGATGTGGGGAGGCAGCTCACCCAGGCGGTGCTGTCTGTACAGCTCCATGGCATCCACACCGTACAGACCAGGGATGGCTCTGTAGGGGTTTACTGATGCCAGGATGGAGCCAATGTTTGTCTACGGGGAAAAAACAAAACACAGAAAGGAAATGAAGCAAGCTCCTGGGGAGAAAAAAAAAATCACAACAAAGCCAGACCCTGAAATAAGTCATGGCGAAGGAGAAAGCCTAAATAAGGACACTGAGCTTCAGCAGAGAGCTGCACAGTTTGGCAAAGATGTCGAACCCCAGAGAAGGAACTGTGCAGCTGGGTATGGATGGGGCAATCTGAATTTTGCTGCTTTATAATATAACATTCTTATCCTGTTGTCCTTGTTAAATTAAGCTCACACAATTTAAAAACATGAAGCCATCTTCATACCCAGCTACTTTGCACTGTGCTTGCGCTGAGCAGCAGAGCCAGGACTGAAAGTGTCAGAAGATACCTTCAATGCCACAGTCCTGAGCAAAGGGGGCTTGGCAGGGCTCAAGAACTTCCTGAACAGGGTTAGAACACAAACACACACAGTACACACATGTGCAAAGAACCACTAAAGCATATAATTTTCCTTCTGCTGAAAAAATGCTGTTTGGTGCAGCTTAAATCATTTGGTAAACCAAATCAAAATTGACAGCTGAAGATAAAGCTCTAGATTTCAAGTCAAAACATTTTTATATTTTCTAAACATTTTATTTTGAAAATATTTATTTTGAAAATCTCACAGTCCAAAAAAAGAGGTAGCAAGATTTAAAATAAAATACCCAGCCAACAACACTGAATTTCAAATGTATTATTTTGTGCAGTGGAAGGAAATTAATTTTGCTTTTTGGGGCATGACTTTTTCAGTTCAGCCAACCAGCTCAAATCCAGTTATTCTCAGAGCTGCAGCTCAGAGCAATGGTGCCACCTCTCTCCTAATGATGGCTATGTAATATGGTCAACATCCATGCTGCTGGTGTGGTGGCCTCCGTCACAGGGACATCTTGGACTGCTCTACTCAAGGAGCACCCATTCTCAGCAGGCATGACCAAATAAACACTTAGATTGCTGCAGGAGGTGCCAAGCTTTATGGTCAGGGACAACATCTAGCATTAGTTCCAAACCATGAACTAACTGTAAGTCACCCATCAGATATAAAAGCATTTGAATGTATCTGCTGGAGAAGCTGTAAATTAAACACGTGGTGACAAGGAGGACTCATCAGGCCAAATGAAATCTGAGCCTATAGCAATGCCAAGTTCTGAAGCCCGACTGATAAGATGCCGTAGTCACCAAAATATTTAAAACTCGTTTATTAAAGCAGCACTCAGAGATCATTGTGGGAGGGAAAATCACCTAGGACAAATTGCATTATCAGTATAAACACACTATCATGGATCAAGTCCCGTGGACCCTCTGACAGGGACTTTTGTGGGCAGAAATAGAATTAATTGGTAGTGAAAGCAATAAGAAGCAGATGATCTTTGGCCAGAGAGGTGCAGAGAGAGAGAGAGAGAGAGAGAGAGGAAAGCATTGGGTGTCAAAACGTGAACTGGGGAAAAGCAATGTACAGGCAGCTGAGGAACAGGCATTGCCCAGAGACTACAAGACATTTCTATGCCCTTCACAGCATCTCTTCTTCTCAGATGTTTCAGTTTGCATTTTCCATTGTAGTTTCACTAGGAACAGAGCTCCTTTCCAGAGAACTTCTGGAAAGTCCTTTCCAGAACTTCTTCCACTACAGCCATCTCTTTCAAAGGTGTTCCTAGAAAACCTTTCCACTACCCAGTTGCAGTCTCCTCATCACATGCATTCCCTTATAGACAAATTCTATCCATAATTTTTAATGGCAGTAAAGCCATGTACATACCAGCTACTTTATCAGCAAAGTAATTGCCCCCAAAGAATTCTCAAGAGCAGGACAAGCCACATGGGGCAAGTCTACTTTTCAGGACAATAGATCCTACTTGGATGGTTAGGCATGGCTTTGCTAAGGAGAGCACAAAATGTGGCAGTACAGCCCCTGGCTCATTTCTGCATCACTCACATTATGTTTGGTCTACTTTTATTAAGGAATACAGGAATTGTAAGAATGAAGAGGGAAAATGCAGGCTGTTGCTGTGCTCACATAATTTCCTTCAACAGTTGGGTAGAGCTTGAATAATATTTATCTGGAAAACAAAAGGTCCCGTTGAGCTTGTCAGTATTGCTGTAGTAAAAGAATTATGGGTGCCAGAGCAGTCTAGATATACTGCTACCTACACTCCCTGATCAGAAAGAATCCCATTTAGGAGCTCATGGTGGGGTTAGTAATCCAACACTGAGGGGTTCTTCCCATGCTGAGCATGTTGCAGAGGTCAGGCCCCTTCATACATCTCCAAAAATTTCAGACCGGAGATGCACATCTGAGATTCATGCATGATGCAAAGGCAAAAAACAAGGTGTAAAGGTGCTAAACTTCAACACCTTTATGCAGAGATGGACAAGGCACAGAACTAATGCTGAATAAGAGAAGGAATGACACATCAGAGGTAGCTGAAAGGCTTAAGGAGGTACAGCTACTACAATACTGCTGGTGTTGTGGCATTTCTGGTGCAAGGCACAGACTGAAAAGGAAGAGAATCCTGCATTGCATTTTAAGGTGCGAAGAAGAAGAAACAGGAGGAATATGCCCAAATGGGGTCAAAAGCTGCACAAACACATAGCATGTGTCAAACACAGGACAAAAAGAGCAGCAAGGATATGGGCCATCAAAATAATGTGTGCATGTGGTTACTGCCACAGGGTCACAAGGCTGTGTTGACAGACAGGCAAAGGTGCCTACAGAAAAAGGAAGGGAAGGGAAGGGAAGGGAAGGGAAGGGAAGGGAAGGGAAGGGAAGAAGGGAGGAAGGAAGGGAGGAAGGGAGGAAGGAAGGAAGGCAGGAAGGAAGGCAGGAAGGAAGGCAGGAAGGCAGGAAGGAAGGAAGGAAGGAAGGAAAAAAAGAAATTACAGTCTCCTCTGCATCCAGTGCAGGAGGTGGTTCAGAAACAGGGTCACTTTACTGATAATTTACTGGAATACAGGTGCATATGGTTTGGTTGCCTTGATAACGGTTGCTATGCAACACAGAGATTTTAATTTTTTCTGTCATATTCTGAAAACTCTGTGTGCACATAGCATGGACAAGCAAGGTAAGACAGTCTTTGCAATCTATCTTCCTTGTTCTCTCCAAGTCTTAGCAGAGCACTGCCATCCCAGCAGTTCAGGAATGTCTTGTCCCAGGTGTGCTTTTCCTCACAAGTCCCTTTCCTAGTACTTGTCTCCTTCCTGAGAGGGAAATCAGGAGATGCTATGAGTATTCATTCATCTGTGCAAGGACAGCAGAGCAATCAAAAAAAAAAAACAAAAAACCAAAACCAAAAGGTACAACTGCATGTAAAAGCAGAACAGCTGGGCAGCAGGTTTGCATTCCTAGTTTTGTTAGGCAGTATCTTTGTCAGATCAGGAGGGATACTCAGCAAGCCCTCTGCACATTGCGTTTTCCAGTCTGCTTGGCCCTATACACCATGGAACAGCATAATGGGGAACCTGAGGAATGTGAATGGCAGCTCATCAAACATGGATGTTCACAGAGGATTCAGAGCTGTGCAATTACCACAAAGCTCAGAGGTGAACATTCATGTTTTGGAATTTCCTCCATATAGGCAAAGAGCCCCCTCTGATAAGGGTAGGATCTCACAGGGATGATGGAGCTGGCAAGGCAGGAAATCCCCTCCAATTCCTATCCTCAAGAGACAAGGATAACATCAGCACTTCACATGCAAAGTGGCAGCCCTGAAGCTAAACGAAAACCATTAAGGCAAAAGGGAGGAGCACTTACATAGATGTTACCCTGCTGGTAGCGCTGGTGAAGGTTGAGCAGGATGGCGGCTTCATGCAGATCTCCCAGCATGGACATGTCTTCCACCCCATCAATGCTGGTCTGGTGCATGGGTAAGACCTTTTCTCTGCACAGGGCGGCCTTGGGGTACTGGAACACCTGGAAGAATGGGGAGAAGGACAAATAATCTAATGACACCTGGGCACATGGTCTGATTTCCTAGCAGGAATGCACACCTTTATATTTTTGCACTGGAAAAGTAAATTAATAAGACACAAACCTGCTCCCTACTTTTACAGTCACTCTTCCATTCCTGTTCCTACATATTTGAGCCCTCTGGCCAGAAACTATACAGCATACTCCCTCCCTTCTTTTGCTACACAGTCAATCTCTCACTTTCACCACTGATGGGGACAAATCAACACAAGGTTACTTAATTTCCCCTTAACAGAAGCAGGGCACCAGCCTCCAGCTGCTAGGCTAGACAGGTATTACACACTGCACTCATGACTGTGAATAATGATGGCAGCTGCTCCCAAGAGACCAGGAACAGTCTTTCACAAAAAACACAGGTGAGATCATGTCTCTGACCGTGGGGAAGGAGAAGAAAAGCTAATTCGCATTGCGAGTTTGGCCCTGCACCCTCCATAGCAGCAGCCAGAGAGCATCTGGAAAAGTTTGTCGTCTCAAGAGCAAAGGAAAGCAAAGCACATGAGAAGCCAAATAAAGTAGTGACATTCTCTCTGTGTGATGACACTTATGTGTATGATACAGCTTTCAAAATATTTGTACAGCGACACCTATTAACTTCTATCACTGCTCTAGGAAGTGCTCATCTCTCCGTGCAGCTGCACTCATCTTGTTTCAATTGCAGCATCCTTCTTCCTGCTAGAGCTTTCTCCTCCTCAATAACCCCCTCTTCAGTTATCAGGTCATCTCCTTCACTCCCTGAGATTATGTGATTGTTCCCCTCCACCACATGCACATCCCAGCCCTCCTTTCCTCCTCCTCAAGCACGATGCTGGCATTTCACGCAGGTTATTTCAGTTGCTTCCCACTCTTGGATTCAGCCATGTGCCATCTCCCACCCAGCATCCCAAGCTGTGCTGGATGGTGAGACCCAAAGAGAGACAGATGGGAGACTTCATACAGGCATGCTGGAGAAGGAAACTGGTCCACAGTAACCCCACCAAAGAATCTTGTGCTTTTCCTCCTCCTCCCAGTGCTCTGGTCTCTGCCTCATTTCCATCCCTGCTTGTCAGCCCTCCTGAGTGCCAGGGAGAATCTGACGGGTCCCACAGAGAACCAGCTCTAATCTGCAGCATTGGTCTAAGTGGTTTCTCCTGCCCACCTCCCTGGATGCTCAGGCTGCTGTCTGTGCAGGGGAGAGGCCGTGCATGCAGCTGCAGGCTGCAGACAGAATGAGGTCACCCAGCCCCCTGCCAGTCCCTGCAGGGCGCTCACAGCTGCAGCAACTGCAGGTGCTCACCCGGGGGCTCGGAGCTGCACCCTGCCACTGCAGGGCAGCAGTAACCCAGCACAGATCCCCTGCAAACCACCACGATGCACAACCACAAGAGCAGCTCTGTTCTGGGGGGCAGCTGGGGAGGAGGAGCTGGCTCAGTCCCTCAGGTGTGTTTGCCCCATTTCTCACCAGTCACACCTGTGTGGCAAGGACCATTCAGCCTCTTCCACTGGCAGGCTCCTTCACAGCCCACTTCTTCCACCAGCCAGGAATTTTGTGATTTTTTTTCAAAAATTTCAAAACTTCAATTTCAAATTTTTAAAAAGAAAATTCAAAAATTTCAAATTTTTTTCAAAAAATTTTGTGGGTTTTTTTTTTTTTCAAAAATACACAGTTCACCTTCATGATCAGTGTAAAACAAAGCCCAGTCCTGCAAAAAGGCGCTCTCCAGGCCTCTCCATACCAATTCTGCTCCTGGGTGTCAGAGAGGTCTGACTGCCAGCAGAAGGACCCTCACTCTGCAAACATGACCCTAAAAAAAGAAAAACTTTTTTTTCTTCTTCAGAGCAGAGACATCAGGCACTTTCACAAGAAAACTGAGGGAACAGAAAGGGAGAATGAGACATTTAAATTCAGGAAAGAGTACAAGCTGCAGATGCACAACATCTGGACTGTCAGGAACAAAATCAATACAGCACTTTCAAACCAGGAGGCAGCAGATGACCCTGGCTCCCTCATCTCCGCTGACTTACCCAAAATTTGGAAGAGAACATGTAAAAAACAGCATGATGTGATCTTCCCTTATAGCTGCCTGGTACTTACTCATCTACTACTGCTCTGTCAGCACTTGCAGCCATTTGGGCCAGAAGAGAAACATTAAGAAAACATTAAGACAAAAAGCTGAGTGGACAAGTGTCCTAAAAGATACCAGGAGCTGGCAGTACCTGTGCCCAGAGGCTGCCATGCACAAAAAGCGATGGGTCAGAGCTCATTTACTTGTTCTTGATGACAACATGGCAGGAAATGGAACCCTGAAGAGGAACAGGGCTCCTAAACACACAAGTAAATAAGTAATAGGGCTTAGAAACTCAGGTTATACCTGTCTTGAGCCACTTGATTTGGGCCTCCAGCCCCACTGAGGTTTGGGAGGAGATGGCTCAGTGCCTCTGGAAGACACTTGTGACATGTGGGAGAGTTTTCAGGTTATCCCTGGCACTGGAAGAAAGCTGACTTTTCATTTGTTCTCTGCCCTTCAGGGGCAGAGTCTCTGTATCACCAACAGGCTGCAAGTATCCTCCATGCTCCGGGACACAGGCACATGTCCCAAGACTGTCAAAGTGACTTTCCTCAAGGAGCTCAGAGGTTTGAGACACAAGCAGGATGATGCTTCACCCTCAGAGTCCCAGTAAGGAAGCTTTTGTTACCCCACTGCTCACCCCTGGATGCTTCCAGCAATCTGCCAGGAGAGCAATTTCCAAGATCCTCCTCCATCATCCTGTTCCAGGAAGGGTATGCCAGGCTGGAGTTCAGCACTACTGAGCTGAATGTGGCAGCTGATTTTTCCTGAAGTAAGAACTCAGGCAAACTGATCTCTCAGCAAAGCTGCCCCCAGAATACCTCTTTTTTAACAAGCTAATATATAAACCACAAAGTTATATGTGTTAATAAGCAGATCGTTATTTTTGGGAAGGAAAATAATCAGCTTTCAGTCTAACAGGCACCTCACAGCCAAAGATTTCTACTTTCTTACCAGTGATAAACTCAATTTGCCTCAGATTTAGCCCAAAGTGAGGGTAAAATGACCATGACTCTCACCAAGGCCCTGCAATGGTCAGGAATAAAGCAAAATCTGGGCAGCAAACAAGCCAAGATGAGGTCTGCCAGTGCTGCTCACCAGGCTCAGCAAGGGAGAAATTATTCTTTTTCAAACTCCATTCCATCCATTAGTGCCATCCTGAGCACACAGCAAAGCTCCCACCTGGCATCCAAGTTATATTTATCCATAAAGCATTTGGCTGTTTTGTCTGGATCGTGCTTTCCAATCTTGTGTTTCACAAGCAAAGCTCCTCCTTTCCTCCCAGGAAGTCACATTGCTGATGGATTTACTGCCTGAGGTGTTTTTAAGGAAGTGAAAACAAATGACAAAAGCTTCGAAGCATGACTGGACTCCTTACCTCGAAGCTGCAGGAGCTGCAAGGATGCTGGGCCACAGCAAACACGAGGACAACTAGATTGGGGGTGCTAAAAATCACAGGGATCACCTGCCCCACCCAAGCCAAAGTGAAGACAATTATCAGAGTCCTCACCCGGGGTAGGAGTGCCAGCCCCTCCCAGAGGGATGAAGCAATGAATGTGGCAGGTGAGGGAAGCACACAGGACAGCTCCTGTGGGTGGCACTGAACAAAGAAAGCCCTTTAATGATCTCCATGAGCTTTTACTCCATGAGCCATAAAGCACATGGCTCCTCCAGCCTAGTGGTTTCTTGTTTCATGGAAGAAAAAAACCCAAACCCAGCTTTTTTCTTCCACACCTGTAAGTCACCAAGCATTATCCTGAACATATTTTCCAGCGTGCAGGGCACAGGCTGGAGGTGGACAGACAGCTCTAAAATGGGATTCCTGGTGTCCTTTCAGAGGTGCCAGGTTGGTTTGAAAGATTTTAGAAGGCCATAGCAGCATGTCAGAAGAGACAGAACTGGGAAAGTCACAGAAGTACTGTCACCACTTTTTGTCCCTCTGGAGGCCACGGCATTCCCTGTGATCCCTTAAAATGTGTTAGTGATATCCAGCACTGCCAAAACAAGTCAACTCCTCAAGAAGCGGTCTAGGAGACTACAGTAACCAGATTCAAAAATCTGTGTTTGCTAGGGGAATTTCCATCTCTGAGAAACAAATCAGGCTCTTTATAAAATAATGATGACTTCAAATCTTTCAAGGCAAGACTGAAAAACATAGTCCTACCACTGACTCCACAAACCAGGACTCTAAATCCCCTTTCCCTCTGTGCCCTCCTTTGTTTGCCAGGTAAGAGGCTGAAGAAAACCTGTCCATTTTTCTGTAACAAAGCAGCCACCTGCAGGGCCCATTCACCAGAACAGCTGAGCAGGTCTAATTGCTCACTGCTGGAGGGCACAGTTCTACCCATTTCCCCATCCTCCTCCCTGCCCAGGCACCAGTCTGACTCACCCAGAACCTCCCTGAAGGCTGTGGATAGTTTTCCCAGGGTTAGCCAGGCGAGCTGACTCACTGAGGACTTGGATGATCCCCAGAGGTCCCTTCCTACCAATATTATTCCATGAGTACTGCACCAGGGGACCACAAGGAGCACAGGGCTGGAAATCAGGCAGGAAAGGAGCTTGTTCTTATCCCTGTTGGAGAGCTCTGCTCTCAGGGGAGCTTGGCTGCCTTGCTGAGCTGTCCTGTGCATCTCTGCTGCCCTTACACACTGGCTGGCACAGGGAGCCCACTGCCACGCGCCCCTGGCCAAAGGGCTGACAGCAAAAGCTGCTGGAGCAGCTGGTGGTGAGCACAAGCACCCCTAGAGTGGCACAGCTTGGCAGGAAGGGCCGCTTGGTTATTGGAGCTGCCTCCTTCCAGGAGCACTTAGCCAATATAATGATTTTGTTAGGCTGTTAATGCAACTCCTTCAAAGATGGCACAAGGGAAACCAAGAAAAGTGAGGTAGGCAGAGAAATGAAGAGAACAAGAAAAACAATCTTCTCCTTTTAACATTTGTTAGATATTTGGTGTAACAGCGCCAGGTCACTTTTCAGAGAGAACTGCAGCATTTCCATTGATAAATTTCAACATGATGGTCATGCAAAACCAAGAAGTCCATCTTACAGCTTGGCATAGGGTACAAACTCATGCAAACTTCACTTACCATGCCATAATCTGAGGTGAAGAGAACATTTCCATTGGCACACAAGCCAACAGTGCATGGCTGCAGCTGGTCCTGCTCCTGCAGCCATACCCTGGCACCCTGCAAAAACCACAAGACATCCCATTAGAAAGAACTGGAGCCTGTGAGATCTGCACTCAAGGAAAGCTGGGGGAAGCTGCAGTATTCAGAAGCTACTTCCAAGCTACAGCTGCTTAAAATATTTAAGTAAGTTCTACTGACATTTTCAGAGAAATTGGGTTTGTTTTTTCCTTATGTAACAGGAGCGGAAGAAAAAGCAGTTTTAATGAGCTTCATGAGGAAACTAAAGTAAGGAAAGACCAATTTTTACAGAAAGTGTCATGGAAAGATACCAACACATAGAATAGTTGGTTTGACTGTCTAAATATTTTAAAACTTAGAATAACCGATCATTAAAAGCCATGCTATAATAATAATAGAAAATATAAATAAAGCATGTTTACAGTGTAAACAATACACCCACGCATCATTGTAAGTCAAAAAGCTTCCAGAAATCACCAGCTAAGAGGATTTCACAGAGCTTTGTTTGCAAACTCTGGCAAGAGTTTCCTTTGGTAAATGACATGACCTGAGTGTTTCTCTGATGTAAATACACACAGATGTATACACGATGGTCCTGATGCCTGATGTATGTATGCACTGGTGTTTATATCTGGTTTTATAGATGATGTTTCACATACAATACAACATCTTACAACATCTCCATGTCTCTCAAGTCAAGTCTGAGCACAAGCTCAGATTTCTGGTAACACACACACAGAGATCTGCAGGACAGGTAAATCTCACAGCTTGCCTACCAAAATAGTAGGGAAAACAAGTTTGCTGGATGGGCCCCTTCTGCCTGTGGGACCTGGTACAAGGGAAAGAGCAGGAGCGTGAAGGCAGATCAGGGCATGATCTGCAATTACAGAGCTAGGCATGAAGTCACACCACACTTCAGTTATTGCAAACTAATCACTTCCATGTCTTCCCATAGAAATCACATAAACTCTGCTTAGATAAATATTGAGAAAAATCCAAAGTGCTCAACTGTTGAGTAACATTAGGGCCATGCTGCCTCTCATCAATTCATAGACCGACTTTCTTCCCTTTTTTTTTATGCCCCTAAATTATTGATCGTGAGCTTTAAGCCCTTCCTACCCTCTTAATCCCATCAGCACCATTAGCTCTTTGCTTGTAGGCTTAATATGTTTGAAGAAATTGAATAGTGTTTCTATATTACATTATACAAAATGTGAAACACTAATTCTATTTTTAATGATTTGTTTTTAGTTTAGGTGGGTTTTTTTAAACTGCTTAAGTCACTCTAAACACTTTAGTACCCTGGACTTTCTTTGCTGTAGGAGATACATCTATAGGCCAATTTCTAGTCCTCCCAATAAAAGATCTGGGTTTAATGACATTAAAAAGTGTACATAATTCTAGCTTTACTGCTGTGCTCTGGTCTAGAGTTTCAAGCAGATTAATCTCCCCTCACCAAGTGAACGAAAAGCACCATTGCATCTGATCAGCACCTAAACCCATGGATGGTCTGCAGAGATCATCCTCATGGCCAGTGAACAACAGCAATAGAAAAAAATGGAATCTTACATTACAGATTTGAGATCCCAGAGCACTGGTGTGGACAGTACATCACACACAGATTTGGAGGAACTGTACAGAGGATTTGTTACATCTTCTTGGATTTTCTGAAATTCTGGATGCTTGAAATAAAGTGTCCTGAGGCATCTGGGCAAGACATTGCTGTTGAGAAATCATCATTTCCCAAATCACATTCTGACTAGTGTGCATAAACATATGCACATCAACATATGTTTAAAGATTTTTTTGCTACTTTCACCAGACTCCTATTACCGCCATGGTAGAAAGCAAAGAGTCAGAAAACAGGAAGGTTGTGTCTCCAAACAGTGGGATGAAAGAAAGCCTTTTATAAGACACTAAGTGTAAACATCCCCAACAGTGCAGTTCAATGCCTTCAGACACCAGCAACCCAGGGTGGCAGGGATGAGAGTCTGAGGCAAGTGCAGCTTAATCAGAAGACAAGTCTGCACCCCGCCATGCACACTGTGCCCCAGTGCCACAGCACACACACCCTGTGTATGGCAGTGTGCCACCACCACAGCACCCTACACACTGCCCCTGGAGACCAGGGCATCCAGGTTACACAGGCTTCCCACTCCCCGAGCTCAGAAATTAACTTGGAGCTACAGACAGTTGATAATCTGACACAGAATAGACAATCCATGGGCATGAATACTGTTATTTAATAGGTACCACTCAGAAGGGAAAAGGGGAGATATGCAGTGGGATCACTCAGCTATCTTCAACATGAAGAGACATAATCTAGAAATAATAGAAATAATAGAAATAATCTAAAAGTCCAGACTGATTCAGACCCCTTTCCCAGCAGAGGTCCATGTACAAAAGTATTAACAAATACTCCTCCAAGGAGACACAGCTCTTTTATACAACACCACACAAGCTTATGGCAGGTCCTTCTGTGAGCTGCTAAGGAATAGAAGGCAACTGAAATGCTGAAACTCCCAGGCCCTGTGATATTCCAGCTGCCCAGAATGACTTACTTCAGTTTACTCTGATGTTGTAGCTGTTTGTACAACAGCAATTGCCTCTGCACAGCAGAGTAACTGCACCCAGTTATGCTGTTTCCAAAAGGAATATTGTGCTGAGACAGTCAGAAAAGGAACCACAGAGCAAATAATTATTTTAACTTCTGCCCAGCATAGCCATAGCCCCATTTCCTGAAAGGCAGAGTTTGCTTTAGTGCATCTCCTTCCACCAGGCCTTTTCTCTAAACATGAAATTCCCCAAGGAGCCTTGACTAAATACGGGAGCAGATGGTGGCACCAAAGAGACTGCCCCACTTTACTTCCCTGCCCCCCCAATGCCACACATCTCATTGATCAGTTGAAAAGATTAAATTGAGCAGAAAACTTCCAAAAACTGCCAGGCAGCAAGGCTGAACTTCCATAGGAGGAGCAAGGTCAGCAGGACTGAGCAGTGCCCAGCAGTGATGTGCCAGCTCTGGGGGGCGCAGGTCCCACAAGCACCATGATTGAAACCCTGCTCTTCTAGGACAAGAGTGAAAACCCTTCAATTTCCATTCTGAGATACAAAAGGTCCACCCTCACCCACAGACAAAACAGTTTAACAATGTGAAGCAACAAGCAACACCAATTTGAGAACACCTTGTAAGACAGAGGAGGAACAGCAGTGATGATTTTGTGTAATCACTTTCCACCAAATAAAGCTGGCTGAATACTGATCATGCAGTTAACTCAAGCCCCTTATATAATGAGCTCATCCCCACCCAATTATTCTTTTACTAGGAGTTTATTAGGTTGGTCTGCTGCTTTGGTTTTAAAGGGAACAAGAGCAGGAACAGAAAGGAAGAATGAAACAGTAATGTACCAGTTACTATATCGAGGGCAGGTCACTCAGATGTTAAACAAACTCTGAGACCAACATCCTCATTCCTATGGCCTCAGTAACAATCTATTCATGAACTTGCCTTGCCACAAAGTGCACAGCAAAGCACAATCCTGAAAAGTGATCTTGTACCATGGCGTTGTGATTTAGAAAACAAAGTTGCTTGCATACAGAGAGCAGTGTTTCATCAGTACTGGCCCAGGTCACACCATCATGCCTTCCTCTGTGGACAGTAAACTCTAAGCTGCCATTTCTCAGTTCAAATAACACATGGCACTTCAGATCCTAGACTCAGAAATAAATAACATTTCCTGCTATTCATGATATCAAAATTCAATTGAAGCCACAGATTTCTTGGCCTTCTATGCCTTTTTTTTTTTTTTAAGAGTGACTGAAACCGGAAGTTCTCCCTTGCATTCACATGCCTGTATCCAATCTCAGGAGATGCACGATGGTGTGTCAGCAGGGAAAGAATAAGGGAGACCTTGTGTGCTGCACCCAGGGAATGGGCAGAGAGGCAGAAAGGCAGCACACAGCCCTTACTGCAGCAGCAAGGCATCCACACATTAGAGTGTGTAGCCAGCAGCTACATCCTCATCACTTATCAGCTGTTGAAGGCAGCAAGGTAAGCTCCAGAGCACAAGACACAAAACTCTGCACATGCAGGTGCCTTGGCCTCTCCAGGGCCTCCCAGCCCAGCAGGAGACCCATTCAGGGACTGACATGAGGAAGCAATTCCACAGCTGTATCACTCTTCAGAAACAAGTCTTGCTATTCTGTTCTCCTTACTCGGTGTTCTGGACTACCCTTGAATCTTCACGTTTTCCCAGGACGTCCTCTGTCTTCTGGGAACTGCTTCTTCCCAGGCACAAGCAAGAATGAGCTGTCCCAGCTGAGCTTCAGGACACAGCAGGGCTGCCCCTCTCTGAGCGCACTTAGACATCCCACTCCTCCTTGTGCCCAAACCTACACAACTGCCAGGAGTAACATGCTCAGGAGGGGCTAAACCAGGCTGGCTGCAGCAATTGTCCAGGGTTATTCACAGAGGAAAAGTGGTTTTGTTTGAAAGACACCTTTCAGTGTGTGAAAGGAGCATACAATTGTCTGCTTTTTCCAGTACAGGATGTTTTTAATGTTTTCTTTGTGTTTGAACTTGACTATCTCAGCCTCCAGATCTACCTACAAGCACAATACTACAAGAGGTTCTTGCAGTGCCTTCCTTGATTTAGGTAATTATACCAAATCACCCATTCTGCAAGGGGCAGGGATGTCTCAAAAATACATAGGTCTGCACTGAGAGTCTGAGACAAAAACCTCTCTGGGTGCAACAAGTTTTCAACTACGAGTACTACCTACATAACTTACCTTTGTCGTCCTAGCACACTGAGGCTGTTCAGTGGGTATTGGGCGTCCAAGCCTTGTGTTTCTGCTGGCAATGGATCCATATGCTCCCAGGCTTAGGAAAGGCTCTCCTGGCAGCACAGTGCTGAGCCAGCTCTTTTCCCAGCCCCAGTGGCTTTGTGGCTGCAAACCACGAGGCAGAGACTGGGCCAGAAAGGCCCTTGCGATTCAGACAAAGCCGGAATCAGGTTTCAATAAATGCACTTTCCAAG